GCTCTGAAGAGAAACACATCTCTGATAGGGTTCTGGTACTGTCTACGAGGGACAAGGTGGGCATGGAGAAGCACTCCAAACAGTTATCTTCTCACATAGCCCCACCATCAGTACCTACCCACTCAGCACCTGTGGTACCAGGCAAATCACAGTGTCGGTATATTCCCAGTCAGTGATACAGCCTTCTTCGGCGACCAAGTTGGTACCAAATCCTTACTTAGTACCACAAGAATTAAGGGCTTGTTTATGATGGATGAACCAGAGTTCCCATTGCTCATGTGTACTGAGTGCCTCTGGGTACTTGAGACACTGATTTCCAGATTACCATTGTCTTCCGGTTCTACAGGACTCTCCATGCTTTTTCACTGTTGTCCCCCAGTTGGAGGATACTGAGGAGGATGAAGAAGACTTCTGGTTAAGTCTTTTCTATTTCTGTACATGGTGCTTCTACACATCCCAGGGCTGCTTATCAGTAGCGATTCACTAGCCCACCAGCACTATTACATAGGGAGGTTGGAATTGGACAGTCCTCTGCCCCATTCAAAACTGAGTGAGAGCAGGCAGATATCGGCCAGAGAGAGGGTGCTTGTGAGTGTCGGGTACCAACTCTATTATACTATGGTACCAGGAGTGAGGATCTTCAGACCGACCCTGATCCACAAGGGCTGTGGAGAGGCAGTAAAACAACTGAGGCAAAGGCAGCCACGGAAACAACAGGCAAGATTTTAACTGTTTTATTGTGTAAAGCCAGAGGCAGAGGCCAAAAGGTGTACTGAAAGGACTCTTGAATGCTCTATAGGTAAGAGAGACCTGGGAGAAAAGGCCCTGACTGACAGGGGCAAGAAAGAGAGTATGCCCTGACTGAAGGGGGGCAGAAAAGGACCGAGGGAAGAACCACTGCCCCAATCCTGTCTGAAAGGGGAGGTGTATAATGGGGTGGACTAGGTATAAGAACCCCCTGCTGGAGGCCTCATAGCCCTGCCTTACCCCGCCCCAGAAAAGAACAGAGGAGAAGTCCTCCTGGCAGCCTAGAGTGGCTGCAGAGGAAGCAGCCAACCAGAGAGGCTTCTAGAGCAACCAGTCAGGGGCCAGAAGGGCCATGTAAAAGGAAGCAGCAGAAGCAGAGCAGTCAGTTCGTAGAATCATAGAATCATAGAATATCAGGATTGGAAGGGACCTCAGGAGGTCATCTAGTCCAACCCCCTGCTTCAGTTGTTGCCTGAAGCTTGAAGAAGGAGGCCTGGGTGCCTGGCTGGCTGGAAGAGCAACTGGACCGCGGACAGGTCAATGCAGGCAGGCTGAGCCCAGGGGATTGAGTCCAGAACCTAGCCAGACCAGGCGATTATACCGTGATGGAGCCCTGCTGGTCTAGTTGAAGACTGAGGCCAGGCGAGGGCTGCCAAGAGGACACCAACTGAGGGTATCAAGATGGGCTCCTGTTGGGCTGTTAAAGAATGCAGTGCCTCCAGGAAGGAAGCCTTGGTGCTATTGCCCCATACCAGGGCTGTGAGCAAGAACTGTAGACTGTATACACTGGAAGGGGGGAATAGTGTGTCTGCCGAGTCACCAAAGACAGGCCGAAAGAACAAAAGGCTGAGGGGGGGGGGGTGAGGGCACTCGCGAGAGGCAGGTGCCACCCCATTGTAAGAACAGAAGAAGCTCAGACCTGACCAAAAGGGGGTTCCCGTGAGAGGTGGGTGCCGCCCCATTCAAAACAGAGTGATTGCAGGCATATATCGGCCAGAAAGGGGTGCTCACAAGAGGCAGGTGCCGATGCCATTACAGCATCATACAGGTTATAACATCAAGCTATAACCACTTTATGTCCCTCCCTCTCTTTCCCTGTCCCTCTTCAGGGACCTTTCTCACAAGCTTTTATTGAAACAAGAACTGGACTCTCTCCTTCAATTAGGAGCAATAGAGCTAGTCCCACTCCTCACAAATGGAAAGGGTGTTATTCAAAGTATTTCCTTGTGCCAAAAGAGGATGGAGACAATATTGGATCTAAAACTACTAAGCAAATGTGTAAAGCCTCCAAAGTTCAAGATGGTGACTCTGGCAGCTATAATTCCTTCGCTAGAGGAAGTAAATTTTGTTTTTGACCCTTGACCTACAAGATGCGTATTTCCATATAGTGTTACAGCCATCACACGTTAAATACCTATGTTTTACTATAGGCCAGAATCATTTTCAATAGTGAATTCTTCCATCCAGCCTTTCTTTGGCCACAAGGGTATTCTCAAAGGTCCTGGCAATAGTGACTGCTTACCTCTGATGAGAAGCAATTCTAGTCTTCGTGTACCTCAGTGACTAGCTACTCAAAACCAATCCTACAAGGCAATGCTGTCTTCCACTCAAACAGCTCTTTTTTCAAGGAATGGGGTCTCCAGATAAATGTATAAAAAAATCCATATTAACCCTCATACAAAAAATACTGCTAATACGGGTTTTCTTTGATTTGTTGGCAGCCAGGGGCCTACCTTCCCATGGACAGATTCATAACTTTGTCAGGTCTGGTCAGGGTTACGCAGGGAAGTCCTCAAACTACAATAAGAAACTCTTGGGACACATGGCAGCTTGTACCTTTGGGACCGATCATGCAAGGCTATGCCTCTGCTGCTTCCAGGGCTGGCTTAGAATGATCTATTCACCAGCCAGAGATACTCTGGACAGGCAGATCAAGTTTTCTCTCCAGGTGAGGAACTCCCTAGCCTGGTGGAAAAATCAACTGAATGGCAGTGCAGTCATTCCTTTCATTCAGCCAACTCCAGCTTTAACTGACAATGTATACATCACTTTTGTGAAGAGGAGTTCACCTCAATGCCCTCATGACTCAGGGCAGATGGACACCTCTGGAAACCAGTCTCCACCTCAACGTGTTGGAACTTAGGGCAGTCAGGAATGCCTGCTTTCATTTCCTACCCCTCATTGGGGCAAATAAATTAGGGTCATGACAGAAATGTGGAAATCAACAAGCAGGGAGAAGGAAGATCTCCCTCCCTGTGCCCCAAAGCTATGAAACTGTAGAACTGGTGTATAGCCATCAGATCCAAATTTCAGCTATCTACCTCCCAGGTATACAAAACACCACAACCAGGACTGCAAATGGGAGTTATACTCTCAGATTCTCCACAGAATATTCCAAAGGTGGGAACTTTCAGAGATGGATCTCTTTATCACCTCCAGGAACAAGAAGTGTCTTCCGTTCTGCTCACGAGGAAGTCAGGGCCACCACTCTTTGGGAGACATCTTTCTCCTGTCTTGGACAAAAGGTCTGTTCTATGAGTTTCCTCCAGCACTGTTAACACCAACACTTGTGATGAATAAGATCAGACAGGACAAATCCAGGGTTATCCTTCTAGTACTGACCTGGCTGAGACAGGCTTGGTACCCTTACCTTCTTCAGCTATGTGTCCAACTGCCATTCAAGTTTCTGACCATTACTCATTTCCTCTCCCAGGATGTGGGTTATGTGCTTCACTCTGGCCTAAGGGTTCTTTTGTCCCAGGGTGTGGTTCCTCAATGGTTTGTAAGGTTATAATCCTCCTGTTCTGCAGAAGTGCAAGAGATACTACTGAACAGTAGAAAGGAGTCAATCCAAATTACTTACCTGCAGAAATGGAAGAGATTCTTCCACTGGTGTTTCCATTGCCATCTTGTGCCTGAATCTGTGTTACTGTCAGTTATCCTGGAAAACCTGTTGGATCTAAAGAAATCGGAGTTATCAGTTATCTTGATTAATATCCACTTGGCTGCAATGTCAGCCTTTCATCCTCTAGTTGATGGGTTCTTCATATTTGCTCACCCTGTGTCATTAATGGAATGGGGAATCTGCCCCCAGGTTAGGGACCCCACTCTGACTTCTGACCCTAACCTGGTACTTAAATACCTCATGAGACCTCCATTTGAACCAATACCAACCTGCTCTCTGCTCCATTTATCTGTGAAGACGCCCTTTTTACTAGCTATCATTTTGGCCTATAGGGTTGGGAGGATTAGGGCCTGGATGGCAGATCCCCTTCTTTGTGGTGTTCTTCATGGAAAAAGTCTCTTTATGCCCACACCCTAAATTCTTACCTAAGGTTCTATCAGAGTTTAATCTTAACCAGTCCATTCATCTACCAGTGTTTTTTCCAAAACTGCATAAGGCCCTACAGGAGACCCGTTTTCATACCTTAGATGTTAGAAAGACACTGGCTTTCTACCTTGGTAGAACCAAACATTTTCAAAAGATACCTACACTCTTCATTTCATCCCAGCTAAATCTAAGGGGTCCTGAGAAGTTTGACTGGGATGGCTAACAGACTGGGGTGACAGGAATCTGTGACTCAGTTTAGCACCAGCAAATCTCTCTCTTGCTGAGGCAGGGGGTGGTAACAAGGGTAACTCACAGACCTGGGCACACTGAGAAAGTATAACACAATGGTTTTGCCATTTTCATTTCAAGTTTTTGTGACTGGCCTAGTGAGCCATGGTTCTGAGGAAGGAGCTACGCTCTGACTCAGAATCTGGACACCAAGTCCAAGAACCAATAAAGAAGGTCTCATAAGGATTGGGACTAGGCATGTTTTTTCAGAATTCCCTCCCACTCAATTCCTCACTCCAGCAGATCACAAACTGCCTGTCTGAAATTTTTGCTAGATCTGCTAAGGAACTGTACATACTCCGGAAGATCTGGGGGATGAATGGCTTTCCTCCTTTAGGCCCCAGATCAAGAAACCATCCTGATTCAGGAAAGTACTGAATTCACTTAAGTACGTGCTTATATCCTAAAGAAGTCTTGGGATGTGGGTGTGAAAAACTAGTCAATGGGGTGTGGAAGATGTATAAATTAAGATGGGTAGACCTTTAACAAGAAATGGCAGGGTTGAAGGATCTGTGTACTTGGGTTCATTTTTCTGAAGATCTCAACTTTCAAAAGCTTGGAAAAAGCTGAACTAGATGGAAATTTAAATTTAATTATACTGATTAATTTTTTTCCAACAACTTTTAATTTACAGATGTACCTTTTCTTCTGGATGAAAATGAAACTGAAGAGGTGTATCTGTTGACATCAGGAAAACTAATGTATTCCTTATCCTGGGCAGTCGATGAGGGAGGAATTCCGTTAGCCCCTGAATCTCAGAAAATAATCTCTGCTTGTTACAGGTAATAATAAATCTTATATTTCTATAAGATTGCCACGGTTTTCACTAAATAGCATCTCATGTTTAATACTATGGGAAAAGTTATGCTAAAATATCATTTGCTTTATGGCAAGGTGTTCTGTACAATGGTAATTTACTGTAGAGCATAGATAACCTATTTTCTGCAGATTTCTTGGGTGTTTCAATCTCTGTATTTCTTGTAGTCATGACTTAGAATAAGACTGAACCTGATGATGTCTGTGAGAATTGGCAATGTTTGCTAAACCATTGTGTGTGTTATAGTATATAGGAGCTAATGTATGACAAAATAAGTGAAAGTCTTGCATTCCTTTTTAGTGTGCCAAGAAACATAAATGCAGAAATAGCTACTGGACTCCTGTGGTTCACTGACCAACAGAAACTTACTGAATGGGCCAAAGAAGTCAAGATTGATCCTAATGACCCTGAGTATTCAGATTTGATGGAATTCATTATGGTAATGTTTAGCAGAGTTCAGTATTAGGAATTTGTAATAATTTATAATTGCTTCTAGAAGAAAATATGTATTGAGTCTAACATGACAGGAGTTAGGGAATTTCTAGATATTGACTACTAAAACATTTTTCACAGGAGATCTTTGGCTCCAAGGTTATAAATAATATGGGACTGAACTGTAAGACTACTTTCAAGATTTCTGAAGATGCCAAAAGAAGTGGGAGCAAAGCTGAATAATTTATGTATTTACTTGGAGCAACAAGATGAAATTGTTGCTCACTAATTATAAGTGAGCCTATTTTTGTTGTAGATTCTACTTGAATCAGATAGTTACCCCCTCTCCTTTTCTTCCTCTCATATCCTTTTCCCTTTCCCTAACTTTGGTCACTTGCTCTGAACTCTTTCTGGTCATTCTTCCTTCTGGTGTCATACCACACTATGAATCTTACCCCATTGTTTACATGAACTGCAGCAGACTTAGATCATCAATCTTTGATTCTATTAAAACAAATGATGGTGAAGCCCAGGAGAGCAAATTAATAAAACAATTTGCAGTCATCTTGTGTCATGAATTTTATTCTTTGTTTCTGTTTCAAGTCTTGTCATTTCAGTACATCATTTGAGATAGGAAGCACAAAATCTGTGGAAGGATTAGGGGTGAGGAAAACACACTGATAGGGGGAGCCTCACAGGGTTTTCCCTACTTCATTCACTCTGTGGATCTCAAGGATTCAGAAGGAAGTTAACTTTATGCATGGAAACAGGAGCTGTCCTACTAGAGAGACACTGCTCTTGGTTAGGTCAGTGCTACTCAAAGTGGTGCCAGTCCGCGAGCCATTAGCTGCTGGTCTGTGCGCACATTGGAAAAAAAAATTGCCGGTCCCCCACATCAGATAGCTTGAGAAGCACTGGGTTAGGTAATCCTACAGCTGCTCAGTAGTAGTTGTAGAGATTAACCAGGTGGTGGTCAAAAGTGGTGCAATGATAATAGCTGAAAATTACTGGGGATCTATGGACTTATTCTAGAGTCCATGTAATGACTTCTGATCACTGTCTGAACAGCTGACTTCACTGTGCAATTTGGGGAATTTTTCAAAAGTGAGAAGAGGCTTCACTGCTACAAACTCTAGTCTAATTTTCATTTTAAAGTTTTTTAAAGGCTAAGGGTTGTCTCCCTTGATCCCTTTGTAGATACTGAGTAGACTGCTTCAAAGGTAGTCATTTTAGACTCTGTTTCTCTGTGTAATATTTTACAAAATATACTTCTAGCAAAGCATCTAGGGCAAACAGAAAAAAATATTTATCATCTTACACTAGTAATGGGCTACATACAAAGAGAAAATGAGAATTGAACTAGGGTTGAAAGAATAACAAAAAAACTGCTAAACGTACCAATGCTTAAGCATATTCAAGAATAAGTCTGAAATGATGCTGAGATATAAATAACTATGAATGAGCCCAATCCAAAGACCACTGAAGTCAATGATAGTCTTTCCGGCGACTTCACTGAGTTTTGTATTAGGTCCTATGTCCTTAACTATAATCTCAGACAAGATTTCTTTTACCTACAAATTTGGTCTTGAGAAATTGGAGATGTATAACCTCTTAGTGGCTACAGTAATCAAAACCACAGCCTAATCCGGCTGTGAGGGACAGCTGAATCTTACAGCTAACTACTCGATCCCTTCAATCTACTCACCAGACCAGTCTGGGGCTGTGATTCCACTCCAAATCAAACCTTTACTCAAGTAAACTTCGTTTACATTTTATACTCCCAGGAAGATTTATGGAATCTGTTTCCTACTAATTTCCTTGGCTAGTGGCCTGTGACCAGTGCAACATTCCATGGCATCTGCCCATTACACCTGCTCACATTATACCAAAAGAGAATGATAAAGCTTATTAAATTGATTTTATTCATTTACAAAGGCAATAAGCTAAACTTTACTCTCTTATACCCATGTAACTTCACTGGAATAAGTAGGATTTCACAGGTGAAAGAGAGAGAGAGCAGAATTTGGTGAAGTATTTTAAGAAACATCTTCATTAGAATTTCCTAGGCCAATGGATGTATACAGAGATAGTACAGGTTAGTCAGTCATTTAATTTCTGTGATATAGAAAAATGATAGGTGGATTTTTAAAGAAAAAGAACAAATAAAAATACCATACAAACTCAAATGTCAGTTTCTCCTTAAAGTTAATACCAATAGAAAAAATGTGGGCATTTGTTTACATCATACAATCTATGCTGAAGAGAAGCCCCAAATAATAGCGATGGTATTGCAGGTCATACTGAGATGTATTGTTAGAAGTATGGGAAGTTTGCTTAGAACCTGTTGGTTCTTTGCTTGGCTCAAGCCAGTACAGTTTCACTTTATAAAAACAAATAGCAAATTTTATTAGTCATCACCCAAAAAGTTTAAAAATATTTGAACCTTGCTTTTACTTTCTCTAACAGTATGCAAGATCCAAGGAACAAACTGTGTCAAAATATTTTCGTCTTGAACAGCTGCAAGAAGAGTTTAACTTTGTTACTGAAGAAGAGATTAAAAAGTGTAAACGTTTCCAGCTGTTGCAGCTTAGGAACTCAGAGCAGTTCGATTTCTGCCATTTTCAGCAAATACCACTGTATGATAGAGAGATACCAGATGCAGTCATCCAGGTATTTAATGTTTCCACTATGATCCTTGTTTCATGTTATATATGACAATCTGAGTTTAATATTAATCTTTGATTTCTCACAGTAGTTGAATTCAACTTTCCTCTTCCTATTTGATTTCTATGTGCAGCAAGGACAAGTGTAATCTTTTACATTATCATGATTTAATGCCTAAAAGCCAGATTCCAATGTCCTTATTCATGTTGAATAGCACTTCATTACTCAAGTAGTCCTTGTTGAGTTCAATGATGTAAAGTGCTAGTCAGAGTAATGTGACCCTGAAATGTTAACACAATAAATTGGACAACGTTGCTTTAGTCTCTAGGAAATAATTGCTTTTTGTGACCTTAACCCAAGCATAGATTCTTCTAGTGCTGCTAAGAAAAAATGAGGGCAAACATAGACACTTCTTGGGGTCCTGTTATACTAGCTATCTCTGAATGCTCCTTGATTACATTTTTTTAAATAAAAATATCCAGGGATGTCTTTTGTCCCCTCTAGCTCTTTCTGATACCAAATGAGTTCTAGGCAGTGTTGGTAATTCTCCTTTAATACAACTGCCTTGGCTGGGATGATTTAGTTGGGGTTGGTCCTACTTTGAGCAGGGGGTTGGACTAGATGACCTCCTGAGGTCTCTTCCAACCCTAATCTTCTGATTCTATGAACTGCCTGTTTTGTCCTGTGGTCCTTCTTTGAGCATCAGTATTCTCTCTAGGATGCATGTGTAAGTATGCATAACATAGATAAAATGCAACATGCAGTAAAGACAGTGGCCACAGAATGGGAACTTTGGAACAGTATTTCCTGTGCTCCCACAAGTATCGTTAATATCAGGAAGTGTTGGCATTATTTGCTGATGATATTCAGCTGTTTATATCTTTTGACATCTTTAATGACTTCTCCATGTTGAGCCTCTCTGCATGCTGTCACAAAGTAAACTTGTGGCTTCATCTTCATTTTCTTCAGCTAAATATCTCAGGAAATACAGCCAGAGGAAAATCCTGCAGTGTCACTCCATCTCCTCTGTCTTCCTTCTTGACTCAGACATTCCATTTGCCTCCTTTTCACTATTTCAACTTCACCTTGGCTGAAATCCTCCTCTATGCTTTCATCTTGTCTCATCTTGATTAGCTATGGCCTCCCCAAGTTCCAGCTCTCCAAACTGCAAAATATTTTGGCTCATTTTCTTAAACATATAGAGAATCATGTTTTCCTCTCAAATTTCTCCACTGGCTCCCTAGTTCATTGCAGTATTCATTTCAGAAATGCTCTACTTATTTTTAAAACCCTCTATAGACTGTCTCCAACTACCACCAGCTTTTTCTTTGTCTTTGTACACAACCTCACAACTGATGGTTCAAGCACTTTTTCTTTCCCTACTTCTCTTCCTTTGCCCTCTGCTCAATTTGCATCAGTTTTTTTCTCAGTGTTATCACACAGTCTCACTACTTTTAGTTCCAACACATTTTCCCCTGTAGTTCCTGTTTTCATAAAACTGCTTTGCTGTATCTCTGCACCTCTTTGACTCTCCTTTTGTTTTCAGGTCATGTATGGGGAAACACATATTTCTCCTCTTGCCTATACATTTTAATTTCTCTTTCCCTCTGTTGTTGTTGTTGTTAGTTACAACTTTGTGAACTGTTTAGGGATACGCTTTGAGAGAATCCAGCAAAGATGTCATATTCTGGAACTTCTGTTAATTTCATCATAGTTTTTAAAAAGTTTAAATGCCTCTCTTCATTTTCTTTAAAATTTTTTGTAAAGATCAGTATATGATCCAGGAAAATTACCTAATTCTATATTCAGGAATATGAAAGCCAATTAGAGAAGGATATATCAATGACAGATGTGGATCCTATTACTGCACAAAGGATTAGGTCTGCCAACTTTATAAGGAAGGTATGACAAATATTGACATGACTGTACTGACTATGAGAAAAATGACCAACTTTTTCTTTTCAGAATCTGTAATGTGAATGTAATACTTATTACAGTGTTGCATTGAAATATACTAGAAAATGAATAACAGTAGAATGTGCAGCAGCAGTCCAAACTTCATCACTAATGAGCCTAAAATCTTTTCTGAAGAGATGACTTCTGGAGCTGAGGCTCTATATCCATACAATCCTTGGCTTCCAGACTTTAAATAAGGGAGTCATTTGTGATGGTGTTTTTGGTGAGCTGGACACCTTGTCCTCAATTGGACTGATACCACCAATTAATTTTGTATAGAATACTGAATAGCTATCAGATGGTGATGACTTCTGGTTCCTACCAGCCAGCACTGGAATTCAGCTGGTGACCTAGACGTGAGGGGCACCATGTTCCATTACCAATGTCTGTCACTGCACTGTATGCACCAGCCGCAGAGTGACAATGACTAGGGCCCAGACCAAGGGCTCATGCCTGTAAGATGCTCAGTACTTCCTGTGGCGTGTTGAGTCCTTTTAACTCTTATTGAAGTAATAGCACCTCAGCATCTTCAGAAGTAGAATTTAAGAAATTGATATTTTAGTAAATTACTCTGTTGCTGCCATACACAAAGTCCAGTAGTGGTGAGCAAATATAAGTAATGGAGGCAGGGATACACTAGAGAAGGTGGAGCGGGTTTTGAATCTTTTCTTCTCAGCTGGTTGTAATGGGAGTTTGTTTCATGACACTTTTGACTTTTTTGAAGATAAGGGGCAAGGATTTCTCCTCTGTTGCCCCAAGGGCACTTTATCAGTGTCCAGACAAATTACTCACCCTGAGTGTGGGGAGACATTTTCTGTCCATTAGAATTACCATGTACGTTAATTCTGTGGGTGAAATTTTGTGTTGCAGATCTAAAAGATGCAGCACAAATCTCTCAAGACAGGTTGTGGGAGGAAAGTGTCTTAATGCCACCTTTGCAGATTCCAGTCTGCTGCGGGGGCCAAAATGATCCCCAGCATAACTAAGGAAGTCTGGGGAAGCTGTCTAAGTTATCGTGGCTTCTTCAGGCTGCCACATGGTTTGCAACATAAGGCAGAACAGCAACAAAGATATCTGTGATGTCTACACTACCTCACTTCCCCTCCATCCAATCTGCGACCTATTTGCTGGGGCTTGCAGTAGTGGACTTGCAAGGCAGTGTAAACTGCTTTAGAAGAATTCTGAACTGGGGGAATCCTCCCCTCGCCTGATCTAGGGCACTGTAGCATGAAAGTGCCATAGTGGAGAATTCCTGCCTATAGAGTTACAAATATGAATTTTCATTTTAGAGATGTTATCTTTCATGAAAAACTCAATTATTTTTTGCAGATGAGAAAACTAATTTTAAAGCGACTTGTCAAAGTTAAGCACAAATTTAATTTAATGGATATTGTGAGCGATTATGAAGAAATTATATCTATGAGGTATAATTAAAAACTAAACTTTGAATTAATGAATGTATCAAAAGATTATGAATTTATGCAAGTGAATTACTTTATTAATGTAATATTTTACTTGGCACATTTGTAATACTATATATTTTCAAATTGGTATATGAGAATATAGCCACATGACTCTCACTGAGTTTAATGGATATGACTTGGCTAAAAACTAAAAAGAACATTTCAGTTGATGGTCCTTTGAAAAGTGATTAACAGTTTGCAGTATGAACTTTTGGATTTTTTTAATCAGTCAGAAAGGGAATAGGTAGAAAAATACAAAGAATGTTTTAATTGGTAATTTTTTTTAGTGTATGGTTCTATTATGAAAATATTCTAGTTTTAGTATTGCATAAACTTGCTAATCTCACTTCTGTGCAGGAGTAGCCAATTCATCATAATGACTTGCTTGGGGAATATCAGGTTTCATTTTTGGTCTCTATATCCTTTCTGGTATATATCCTCAGGAGTTACTGTGTTAGGAATGCAGAATTGGTTCTCAAATGGAGCCTAAACTTCAGAAAGTTTGCTTCTTTTGGAAAAACCAGGAATCCATAACATATCAGAAGATTCTCATTTTTCAGGAATAGTTCCTATCATCTTTACGTTCTAAATTACATTTACATGAAAAGTGTCAAAAAGAATAATATATAAATTGTAAATATTAAAAGTGGAAATCAAATTTAAGAAACAAAACAAAACTTGATGAGATTAAATGAATTCTCTTTGCAGTTCCTTATTCATGAATCCATCAAGCAACATTTTAGAAGTGAGTCAGAATTATCAGCATGGGAAATTATCTTGATTCTGATCTATTCCCTCAGCCTAAGACATTTTAGCTGCAGCTCTCTTCCTGAAAATACCAGAGGCAGTTCAGACTTGTCCTCAAGCCCTGGGACTTGGCCTATCCCTTCTACTCCTATGTTAGATTCGCTGCCTGTGGCGGGACAAACAGCAGCTGTTCAGTGCTCCCACATTATCCTTATCATTTAAAGTAGATTTTGGGGCAACAGTGAGTGAGGTCCTCCCCATTTCCTTTAGGCTGAAATTTTTGAGGCTTTATTCTCCAAATGAGACCACCTGCTGAGCTCCTCTCAGTTTCTCACTCCTTGCATAACGACAGTGTGGGCCAGACAAGGAAAACCAGAGGCCAAGAGATGCTCTATCTGTTATAAGACCCTTCAGGAGCAATAGAAACAGGACTCTACTATGATTGCTCACAACCAGCAGGTCTCACTCTGCCAAGGGAAGGAGCTCAGAGTTTTTGAATCATTAGTTGGGGCCTTTGCTTCCCACCGCACCTAGGGGTAATGGAAAGGGAAGGTCAGTACTTTTCAGCTCCAAAGGGTCCGCAAACTGGATCAGTGAATCATTCTCATCAATCAAGGACCCTTGGTGTGAAAGACTAAAACACTCCAAAGCTCAGTCCATCTCTGAGGGGGAAAGTTCCAGGGTCCTATTCTCGGTTCTGTACTGGATCCCAGAACACAAAACTCAAGTCTAAATGCAGATGTAATGCAGATTCTTTTCTATGCGAGGAAGATCACTAAAACTGTCTCAGGGTTACCCGTGCAACAGTGACAACGAACAGATAAGTGGACTGGCTAAGCTGTCAGTGGATAGAATTTGGAACACTTCCCTGAACTAGGAAGTGTTTGGGGGAGATCAAGAGAGGTGTACCTATCTGCATTAAGATTAAACCAAAGGCAAGGCTCTTCTAGACATGGGAAGCGGATCAAAGATCACTGGCTCACAGATATCAGAACCTGCTTCTCTATGCTTTCCTTTCTCTGCTGGCACGAAGGAGAGTAATTCAGAAGATAAGGAGGGAAAACTGGTTATTCTTATAACCAAAGACCAGAGTATTTTGACTGAATGGAGATATTCCTGAAGTCTCCACTCCATTTTCCCAAGTGGCATAATCTCTGTGACAGAAACTACTCTTGCATCCAAGCCAGACTGCCTGAGCATGACAGTTTGGCTGTTGAGTAACAAGCCTTAAATAAGATGGGGATACTTTTCCAAAGTTAATCTCCCATAGTTATTCTATCCCCTTGATTTATGCAAGGTTCTGGACAGAATTCTTATATTACTTTCAATATAGAAATGTGAGCCCTAGGAAACCAGATGGTACAGCTCTTCTGGATTTCTTACAGAATGACCTACAGCTAGGCCTGACATCCACTGTGACATCACAGGTCTGTCAGTGTTAAGAGTGTCGTAAACATAGGGTATGTCTGCACTACGAAATGAGGTCGAATTTATAGAAGTCGGTTTTTTAGAAATCGGTTTTATATATTCGAGTGTGTGTGTCCCCACAGAAAATGCTCTAAGTGCATTAAGTGCATTAACTCAACGGAGTGCTTCCACAGTACCGAGGCTAGAGTCGACTTCCGGAGTGTTGCACTGTGGGTAGCTCTCCCACAGTTCCCGCAGTCTCCACTGCTCATTGGAATTCTGGTTTGAGATCCCAATGCCTGATGGGGCTAAAACATTGTTGCGGGTGGTTCTGGGTACATATTATCAGGCCCCCGTTCCCTCCCTCCCTCCGTGAAAGCAAGGGCAGACAATAGTTTCACGCCTTTTTTCCTGAGTTACCTGTGCAGACGCCATACCAACGGCAAGCATGGAGCCCGCTCAGGTAACCATCACCGTATGTCTCCTGGGTGCTGGCAGATGTGGTACTGCATTGCTACACAGCAGCATCAACCCCTTGCCTTGTGGCAGCAGACGGTACAGTACGACTGGTAGCCGTCATCGTCATGTCCGAGGTGCTCCTGGCCACGTCGGCCAGGAGCGCCTGGGCAGACATGGGCGCAGGGACTAAATTAGGAGTGACTTGACCAGGTCATTCTCTTTAGTCCTGCAGTCAGTCCCATTGAATCATCTTATGGTGAGCAGGCAGGCGATACGGATTGCTAGCAGTCCTACTGTACCATCTTCTGCCAGGCAGGCAAGAGATGAGAATGGTTAGCAGTCCTACTGCACCATCTTCTGCCGAGCAGCCATGAGATATGGATGGCTTGCAGTCCTTCTGCACCGTCTGCTGCCAGCCAAAGATGTAAAAGATAGATGGAGTGGATCAAAACAAGAAATAGACCAGACTTGTTTTGTACTCATTTGCTTCCCCCCCACCCCCGTCTAGGGGACTCATTCCTCTAGGTCACACTGCAGTCACTCACAGAGACGGTGCAGCGAGGTAAATCTAGCCATGTATCAATCAGAGGCCAGACCAACCTGCTTGTTCCAATAAGAACAATTACTTAGGTGCACCATTTCTTACTGGAACCCTCTGAGAAGTCCTGCCTGAAATACTCCTTGATGTAAAGCCACCCCCTTTGTTGATTTTAACTCCCTGTAAGCCAACCCTGTAAGCCATGTCGTCAGTCGCCCCTCTCTCCGTCAGAGCAACGACAGACAATCGTTCCACGCCTTCTTTCTGTGCGGACGCCATACCAAGTCAAGCATGGAGGCCGCTCAGCTCACTTTGGCAATTAGGAGCACATTAAATACCACACGCATTATCTAGCAATATATGCAGCACCAGAACCTGGCAGAGCGATACCGGGCGAGGAGGCGATGTCAGCGCGGTCACATGAGTGATGAGGACATGGACACAGATTTCTCTGAAAGCATGGGCCCTGCCAATGCATGCATCATGGTGCTAATGGGGCAGGTTCATGCTGTGGAACGCCGATTCTAGGCTGGGGAAACAAGCACAGACTGGTGGGACCGCATAGTGTTGCAGGTCTGGGACGATTCCCAGTGGCCGCAAAACTTTCGCATGCGTAAGGAACTTTGTGACTTGCTTTCCCCTGCCCTGAAGCGCATGAATACCAAGATGAGAGCAGCCCTCACAGTTGAGAAATGCAAGATAGCCCTGTGGAAGCTTGCAACGCCAGACAGCTACCGGTCAGTTGGGAATCAATTTGGAGTGGGCAAATCTACTGTGGGGGCTGCTGTGATGCAAGTAGCCCATGCAATCAAAGATCTGCTGATATCAAGGGTAGTGACCCTGGGAAATGTGCAGGTCATAGTGGATGGCTTTGCTGCAGTGGGATTCCCTAACTGTGGTGGGGCCATAGACGGAACCCATATCCCTATCTTGGCACCGGAGCACCAAGCCAGCGAGTACATAAACCGCAAGGGGTACTTTTCAATCGTGCTGCAAGCTCTGGTGGATCAGAAGGGACGTTTCACCAACATCAACATGGGATTGCTGGGAAAGGTACATGATGCTCGCATCTTCAGGAACTCTGGTCTGTTTCAAAAGCTGCAGGAAGGGATTTACTCCCCAGACCAGAAAATAACTGTTGGGGATGTTGAAATGCCTATCCTTGGGGACCCAGCCTACCCCTTGATGCCATGGCTCATGAAGCCATACACAGGCAGCCTGGACAGTAGTCAGGAGCTGTTCAACTACAGGCTGAGCAAGTGCAGAATGGTGGTAGACTGTGCATTTGGATGTTTAAAGGCGTGCTGGCGCAGTTTACTGACTCGGTTAGACCTCAGCGAAACCAATATTCCCACTGTTATTACTGCTTGCTGTGTGCTCCACAATATCTGTGAGAGTAAGGTGGAGACGTTTATGGCGGGGTGGGAGGTTGAGGCAAATCGTCTGGCTGCTGGTTACGCGCAGCCAGACACCAGGGCGGTTAGAAGAGCACAGGAGGGCGCGGTACGCATCAGAGAAGCTTTGAAAACCAGTTTCATGACTGGCCAGGCTATGGTGTGAAAGTTCTGTTTGTTTCTCCTTGATGAAACTCCCCGCCCCTTGGTTCACTCTACTTCCCTGTAAGCAAACCACCCGCCCCTCCTCCCTTCGATCACCGCTTGAAGAGGCAATAAAGTCATTGTTGCTTCACATTCATGCGTTCTTTATTCATTCATCACACAAATAGGGGGATGACTACCAAGGTAGCCCAGGAGGGGTTGTGGAGGAGGGAAGGAAAATGCCACACAGCACTTTAAAAGTTTACAACTTTAAAATTTATTGAATGCCAGCCTTCTGTTTTTTGGGCAATCCTCTGTGGTGGAGTGGCCGGTTGGCCGGAGGTCCCCTCACTGTGTTCTTGGGCGTCTGGGTGTGGAGGCTATGGAACTTGGGGAAGAGGGCGGTTGGTTAGACAGGGGCTGCAGTGGCAGTCTGTGCTCTAGCTGCCTTTGCTGCAGCTCAACCATACACTGGAGCATACTGGTTTGATCCTCCAGCAGCCTCAGCATTGAATCTTGCCTCCTCTCATCATGCTGCCGCCACATTTCAGCTTCAGCCCTGTCTTCAGCCCACCACTTACTCTCTTCAGTCCACCACTTACTCTCTTCAGCCCGCCACCTCTCCTCCTGGTCATTTTGTGCTTTCCTGCACTCTGACATTATTTGCCTTCACGCATTCATCTGTGCTCTGTCAGTGTGGGAGGACAGCATGAGCTCAGAGAACATTTCATCATAGGTGCATTTTTTTTTCTTTCTAATCTTCACTAGCCTCTGGGAAGGAGAAGATCCTGTGATTATTGAAACACATGCAGCTGGTGGAGAAAAAAAAAGGACAGCGGTATTTAAAAAGACACATTTTATAAAACAGTGGCTACACTCTTTCAGGGTAAACCTTGCTGTTAACATTACATACATAGCACATGTGCTTTTGTTACAAGGTCGCATTTTGCCTACCCCCACCGCGTGGCTATCCCCTCAACCCTCCCCGTGGCTAACAGCGGGGAACATTTCTGTTCAGCCACAGGTAAACAGCCCAGCAGGAACGGGCACCTCTGAGTGTCCCCTGAAGAAAAGCACTCTATTTCAACCAGGTGACCATGAATGATATCTCACTCTCCTGAGGATAACACAGAGAGATAAAGAACGGATGTTGTTTGAACGCCAGCAAACATACACTGCAATGCTTTGTTGTACAATGATTCCCGAGTACGTGTTAGTGGCCTGGAGTGGTAAAGTGTCCTACCAGGGAGGACGCAATAAGGCTTTGGGAGTACATCCAGGAGAGCCGCGATTAATGCAGGGCAAATTAATCCTTTCACACGCTTGCTTTTAAACCATGTATAGTATTTTAAAAGATACACTCACCGGAGGTCCCTTCTCTGCCTGCTGGGTCCAGGAGGCAGCCTTGGGTAGGTTTGGGGGGTACTGGCTCCAGGTCCAGAGTGAGAAACAGTTCCTGGCTGTCGGGAAAACCGGTTTCTCCGCTTGCTTGCTGTGAGCTATCTACAACCTCATCATCATCATCATCTTCTTCATCCCCAAAACCTTCTTCCGTGTTGCCTCCATCTCCATTGAAGGAGTCAAACAACACGGCTGGGGTAGTGGTGGCTGAACCCCCTAAAATGGCATGCAGCTCATCATAGAAGCGGCATGTTTGGGGCTCTGACCCGGAACGGCTATTCGCCTCTCTGGTTTTCTGGTAGGCTTGCCTCAGCTCCTTAAGTTTCACGTGGCACTGCTTCGGGTCCCTGTCCTTCATGCCCTGGGAGATTTTGACCAAGGTTTTGTCATTTCGAAAACTGGAACCGAGTTCTGATAGCACGGATTCCTCTCCCCATACAGCGATCAGATCCCGTACCTCCTGTTCAGTCCATGCTGGAGCTCTTTTGCGATTCTGGGACTCCATCATGGTCACCTGTGCTGATGAGCTCTGCATGGTCACCTGCAGCTTGGCACGCTGGCCAAACAGGAAATGAGATTCAAAAGTTCGCGGTTCTTTTCCTGTCTACCTGGCCAGTGCATCTGAGTTGAGAGTGCTGTCCAGAGCGGTCACAATGGAGCACTCTGGGATAGCTCCTGGAAGCCAATACCGTCGAATTGTGTCCACAGTACCCCAAATTCGACCCGGCATGGCCGATTTAAGCGCGAATCCACTTGTCAGGGGTGGAGTAAGGAAATCGATTTTAAGAGCCCTTTAAGTCGAAAAAAAGGGCTTCATCGTGTGGACGGGTGCAGGTTTACATCAATTTAACACCGCTAAATTCGACCTAAAGTCCTAGTGTAGACCAGGGCATAGGTGTATCCAAATCTCTGGTAGATCATCCAGTGGTATCAAGATTCCTTAACACAGCATTTCTACACAAACCAACACTGACACCTATCTTCCTTATCTGGGATATGCTTATAGCACTAGAAACTTTCATAAACCATTCATTCATACTGATAGGTTCTAACTCTGGAAAACATCATCTTAATTCATTTTCTTCCACCCTATGCATCAGAACTTGAAAGCTTGCAAGTCTCTGTACTTAGGTGGATTGAGTTTTTTATCACTGAAACATACTTAGCCTTGATTACAAAAGAGATCAGAACCTACTCCACACTTTCCACAGTAGCATTCTGTGTAGAAAGGGCATAAGGTACTTCAAAGGAAATCTGGAAAGCTGTCACCTGCTCATCAATCAACACTTTTTTTAAGCGCTATAGGCTTTACCTTCATTCTGTTGCAGAAACCTCCTTTGGCAGGAGGCTGTTCCAAATAGTGGTCCCCAAATGGTTCAATATTACTGATTTTAGGAAAGGGTGAAAATTCTTTTGTCTTACATATCTGACTATATGGGGCTTGTAATGCACATTTCACTGTAGTTTCTAAATGCTTCCCAGGCGAATTAGATTTGCATGGAAAGGTCTGAAGTGGACTTTGTGGAGCCTTTGTGTAGAGCACAATCATAGAAAGGTAACAAATTTTCCATTTTCTTAAATCATGTATAATAAAGGAAGATGTTTATGTATAAAGCTGACTAAAACATTTTCAACTTTATCTAGCCAATTGAGGAATGCAGTTTTTAAGCTAGGTGAACGTAGAAGACATTTAAAGCCGCAAAGAAAAGAGAGGAAAAAGGTTCCAGCGCAGACGGTCTCTGATGGAGATCTTAAGCTTCTTATCAGAGTATTGAGAGCTTATAACATTCCTTCAAGAAATCCATCAGTTATTAGGTAGGAAACCATAGGAACAGAAGTTAGGGATTGTAAAAACCTATTGGATAATTTGGTACATCCTCCACGTAGTCCAGGATTGTTCCCTAATGAATCTTTTCTAGAGTTTTGTCTAGTTTAGTTTCTACCATTTCCCTTGCAAGAGCATTCCCATAGTTTTATAGATCTCACTTAAAAGAAGAAACAATGTAACTGACCAAAAGTGCAGATTATAGGATTTTGTTAGTTATTCAACTCCAGTGAAATCTGTAAATTATCTGTAAGGAACAGTATGCTGTTGATAGTTCTGTTATGTGTTTAATGCTGCTTATATTGACATGGAATTGTTACAGCTATCCAGAATGCAGGGCTACTGTATAGTTATTGATGCATAAGTGTACAGATTTTTCTCCCCAGAAATGAATTTTTCTGCACTGTGATTAGGAACATAGGAATTGACATAGCAGGTCAGACCATATGCTTTGGTGGATGATGTAAAACCACCTTAGGATCAGCAATAACTTGCCCAGAAAAGTTCTACAGGATTGGGTCAGAATACTGTGCCATTTGCATGGCAATCTCCCAAGTCCTGCTCCCAGTATAGATGTCCAGTCCAGCAGGAGTTTATGCAAGGAAGAATTCCACAAAGCAGCACTCTTTCATTTTGCACTCCTAGATGGTGATCTGGTGGAGTGCTCTACCTTCCACTCACAAGATGGAAAGTATGATGAGACTTCTTGTAACGGATTGATTGGTGGTTGATATGTTCAGCTCTTTTCTGGATGCTGCTTAGCTGGGATTGAACTAACTGTCTTCATCTAAGTATGAGCTGTCAGATATAGTACAGAAGGGAACAAAAAGGAAGTCAAGTAGGCTGGGACATCATATGGTATCTGACAGAAAATGTTCTTAATTAGAAACTATAATTTGTTAGCCAGTTTTACTTATCAAGTAAAAGAAACACATTGAGTTGTTCATAATGTAACTTTTGACCCACATGCACTCTCTGGTAGTAATATTTTGTTTAATATTTTGCTTCTAAAATGAAGATCAGTTTATAAGTCTCATAGAATTTAGTATTTTTTCATGACTGCAACTGAATGACTGCATAAGCTATTTTTTTAAAGTAGAGACTATGTTGTCTTCACCCACTTAATATTTCCTTTAATGCTTTATGTAATTACTCATTTAAGTTTTAGAAATATTCTTCTAGTAAGACTGGAAAATTAAGTGAAGCTTGCTCTGAAAAGGATAGTATTTGCAAGTTGGAACTAAATTTAAAAACATCACTTAAGTTTTATAATACAGCAAACAAAAACAGTTGCTATCTGTATATTTACACTGGATGAGCACAATTTTCTTTCTAGCTACCACAAATATTAATCTAAATATTTTAACACACCAAACCTGGTTTAAGAGCTACTGCATCATGAGAAACATTTTCATTAAAGCTAACATACTGCTAGGGCATAAAGTAGGAAATGAAAGTATTTACAGAAAAATGCATTCAGGTGATAACTATACCAATGAGATGTAATGTTTGACAAACATTCTATCATTTAAAAACTTGTTTAAAATATTAGAGCTTTATTATTTGGATAAAGTAGGAGAAGTTCATGACTTTCAATGCTTGTACTGTAGACTCAATTCATGAAGACATTTACTCTTTATTATACTTTATGGCTGAGCAAAGCAAGGTCTAACATTCCATGTGATGGCATTTCTGTTTGTATCTCTAAGGCATTAAGAAGTTGGATGGAATGTGGGGGACACAAAGCCCCGGGCCTGAGGAGGAAAATGGGGGACAATGGTATGGGAGCCATGGGAACCACACAGGTTGTTGGCATGAGATGGGGAAGAATGAGGTTGACACAGCGCCCCTGCCATGGTAAAGAAGGGGAAAATATGGGGAAGGAGAAATGAAGCAGTACAGAGAGACCATTTTGGAGAAGGCCCCTGGCAGAGAAGGAAGAACAGGGGACCCTTGTATGGGAACATGGGCAACACAGAGACCTTGGCATATGGGGGAATGGGCACACTGAGCCTCTGGCATGTGGTGGAGGAGGGAATCGTGGGGGGGAGCACAATGAGCCGCTAGCATATAGCAATGGGGGGATACATAGAGACCATGGCATGAGGGAGGAAAGTGTTGGAGGCAGGTTGCATGGAGTCCCTGAAATAGGGATGGGAAGGTGGCTCACAGGGAACTTGTTGGAGGTGCGGGGGAAATGGAGGAATGAAAGGAGGCCCTGGTATGTGTAATGTGTTCGGCCTACAAAAGTAACAAATTGTGCGGTCCTTTCATTTATTTGGAGTTCAGCTGCATAATGAAAGACTAATTCAGTGTATAAACATGTAGGAACGGTTTGTGAGAGTACAGATGTCTAGCATAATGGTTGCCAAATCCAATTAAATTCTTGTGCAGTTCTGAGCTCTTGTTTATCTGAAACAAAGAAAAAGTAAATTCCTTGAGAGAGTATGCATCTAAGAATGTGTGCCTCATTCCAAACTTGCTATGCAAATAATTAGCATTACAAAACAACAGTCTATAACTTTCATGCAATTGGACATTGTTTGCAATAATGGATAGGCTGATTCCTTCACAGAATGCAAATCATATTTAGCAACAATAATTAAATTAGAGATGGTTTATTCATTATTTCACCCATGGTATATTACAATACCCCAAATGTAAAGAAAAAATTCACTGTGGTTCTGAGATTAGTGTGAAAATAAAACAAAACTACAACATGAAAGAGACTCAGCAATAGCTTAACGCGCCCAAAAATAATTTATGAAAATTTCAGTCAAGGAGAAGTGAGAGTCCATCTAGGAGCTAAAATGTGGAAATTGTGTCCCTGAGAGAGTGAGCCTCACCAGCTGCTCATAAATGCAGGATCAAAAGCTGCCAAGTGTTGGGACGGGGGGGACATTCAGATTGGGCCTTTGGGCTGAAGTTTATTTTGCCTAAAAACTGCATGAAGTTTAACATGTTATCAAAGGACTTTATAATTAATAGAAATGGATTATCATAGTCTTAGGGATAACTATGCTTCTGTGGAAGCTGGGCTGGCTGGAGAAGTAGACCAGCAGGGGGTGCCATTTAAGGAGGGTGAAGAGGCCCTCTTCCCCCCCCCTGAGTTTCTAACTACATTATAATTTTACAGACAGGCATGGTGCTGGGGGTGCTTGTGGAAACTATAGCCACCCCAAAATTGCCTTTGCTCCCCTGTATCCACTCGTCTCAGAGCTGGGTGCCCAGCCCGCAGCAGCTGCTCTCTGGCTACCCAGCTCCCATCACCCTTCCCACACTCCCCCAACAGACTCTCTCTCTCTCTCTCTCTCTCTCTCTCTCTCACACACACAGTCTCTCTCACACACTTCCCAAAGAAGTCTCCACTTCCTTGGGATGCTGATCCATAGCTGGTGCAGCACAGGGGGAGCTCGCCTGATGCAAGAGGTGGCTATGCCCTAGTGGGTCTCTGCTGGGGTTGGGGGACAGGTAGCCTGTCTGTGTTGGTGCCTCTGGCTCGGGAGGGGGAGCTGCGGCTGCTGCTGTACTGAACAAGTTCCACTTAGAGTCAGACACTGACACACTCAGGCACACACACAGTCTGTCTCTCTTTTTCTCTCTCTCACACACACACACATTCTCTAACACACAATATTATTATTCTTATTGTTACTTCTTGCTACTTCCTGTCAAAATGTGCAGTGCACATATATTCTCAAATTTTATTCTTTCAGGATTATAGTACTGTTGTTTTAGTTTTTGTCTGGTCTCTGCATTTCATAATTTTATTTCTCTCTTATGCTTAAATTTAATTATTTGAGTAGTGAGTTCTAAAATGCCTAATCTGTCCTGGCTGGATTATCATTATTACTTTATTACCATATCGTGCTTTGTCAGTCATTATTTAAAATGGTACAATCAAATAATAGTATGCTTCTAGAATGTAAATTTAGTTTGTACTCATCTTAGCAGTTTCAGTTTAAAATCAATTAGCTAAACACATAACTACAGATACTGTGGAGATGGTCACTTATTTTCAAATTGTATTTTTAATTATATCTGTAAAATAGCTTAAAATTTGTACAAAAACAAATGTGGTTCCAAGTCTGATTCTAATAGTAATGACAGAGTCAGACGTTAGTGAGTCATGTCCATGATTGTGATTGGTAAACATAAATGCCAAAATAATTAGAAAAATAAAATCTCGTTCTTAATAAAAGAGAAAAATATTGCATGTATTAAAATTCAGTAAATGTGGTTTTAGTAGAATGAAAAACTATAGACTAAAATGGAATAGATAATGGCAGTAACAGAGTGTGTCTGTTAAAGAAAGTAAGCAGATTTTAAGCAGATTTTATTTATTTTTATTTATCTCTACGAAAGATAGTGTACCAAAGTATCATACTTGTGTTTCTGGTATCTGAGTTAAGGCTCCAAAACTGATACTGCAAAGCTTGGGATTGTGAATATCTTGCTGTATTATCTCCTGATTGTTCTAAATTTACATATACATTTAAAATATGGCTTTAATTGGTGTTGTATTTTTTTTTTCTTTCTTTAAACAGGAAGTAGATACAGTGCTCCTGTCAGCTAATTTCTAAATTGTTATCTGCAAATAAAACCTAGAATATTCAGGTGCCTAAGTAGCCCCTGGAATCATGGTTAAGGTTGCCCCTCTGCCCCCAAAAGCTGAAATGGAACCCCTGCAGACCAGGCACCCCAGTTCCGTGGCAGCGCCTGGAGGCATAATGTGTCCAAATTGAAATTACTTCAGTGGGATTTGGACTGGAACAAGGGAGTGGCTGCATGATCAGGCCCATAGTTTTAGACATTTCTTCATTTTAGGGATTTATGTTTTGATTTGTGTTACTGATTTGTTAGCTGTTCTTTATAAGTATGTATAGCATCTGTAAATAGTAAACTGATTATCTGTAGCATCTGTAAATAATGAACTAATACAAGCAATTGCCGTGTAGATTAAAAAGAAAAGCTGGTTGAAATGTGTATGTCATTCCTGTTTTATATCTAAAGACCTGCAGGTGTTCATTCGTCAACATATGCAATTAATCAGCTGTCCCGGAGTCAACATCTACTATCAGGCAAATCATCATACACATCTGATCCTCTAAGTGAGGTAAATAACTTAAATTACTCAAACAACAACAAAAAACCCCAAAGAGTGAATCATTTTGTATTGTTTAAAAGTAGGGCTGTCAATTAATCACAGTTAACTCATGTGATTAACTCAAAAATTAATTGCAATTTAAAAAATTAATCGCTATTAATCGCACTGTTAAACAATAGAATATCAATTGAAATTTATTAAATATTTTGGATGTTTTTCTACATTTTCAAATATATTGATTTCTGTTGCAACACAGAATACAAAGTGTACAGTGCTCACTTTATATTATTATTTTTATTACAAATATTTGCACTGTAAAAATGATAAACAAAAGAAATAGTATTTTTCAGTTAACCTCATACAAGTACTATAGTGCAATCTCTTTATTGTGAAAGCGTAACTAACAATTGTAGATTTTTTTTGTTACATCACTGGACTCAAAAGCAAAACAATGTAAAACTTTAGAACCTACAAGTCCACTAAGTCCTACTTCTTGTTCAGCCAATCACTACGACAAACACATTTGTTTACATTTATAGGAGATACTGCTGTCTGCTTCCTATATACAATGTCACCTGAAAGTCAGAACAGTCATTTGCATGGGACCTTTGTAGCTGGCATTGCAAGATATCTACAAGCCAGATATGCTAAACATTTGAATGCCCCTTCATGCTTTGGCCACCATTCCAGACGACATGCTTCCATGCTGAGGATGCTCATTAAAAAAATAATGCATTAATTAAATTTGTGACTGAACTCTTTCGGGGAGAATTGTATGTCTGATGTTCTGTTTTACCCGCATTCTGCCATATATTTCATGTTATGGCAGTCTCAGATGATGACCCAGCATATGTTCGTTTGAAGAACACTTTCACTGCAGATTTGACAAAATGCAAAGAAGGTACCAATGTGAGCTTTCTAAGGATAGCTACAGCATTCAACCCAAGGTTTAAGAATCTGAAGTGCCGTCCAAAATCTCAGAGGGATGAGCTGTGGAGCATGCTTTCAGAAGTCTTAAAAGAGCAACACTCAGATGCGGAAACCACAGAACCCAAACCACCAAAAAAAGAAAATGAACCTTCTCCTGGTGGCATCTGACTCAGAGGATGAAAATGAACATGTGTCAGTTGGTCCGCTCTGCTTTGGATCATTATCGAGCAGAACCAGTCATCAGCATGAACGCATGTTCTCTGCAATGATGGTTGAAGCATGAAGGGACATATGAGTCTTTAGCGCATATGGCACGTAAATATCTTGCACCGCCAGCTACAACAGTGCCTTGAGAACTCCTGTTCTCACTTTCAGGTGACATTGTAAACAAGAGGCAGGCAGCGTTATCTCCTGCAAATTGTAACCAAACTTGTTTGTCTGAGTGATTGGCTGAAGTAGGACTGAGTGGACTTGTAGGCTCTAAAGTTTTACATTGTTTTATTTTTTTGTACATAATTCTAAATTTGTAAATTCAACTTTCATGATAAAGAGATTGCATTACAGTACTTGTATTAGGTGAATTGAAAAATACTATTTTTTGTTTTTTACCGCGCAAATATTTGTAATAAAAATAAATATAAAGTGAGCACTGTACACTTTGTATTCTGTGTTGTAATTGAAATCAATATATTTGAAAATGTAGAAAACATCCAAAAATAATTAAAGAAATTATATTCTATTATTGCTTAACATCGCGATTAATCGCAATTCATTTTTTTAATCGTGCGATTAATCGCAGTTCATTTTTTTAATCGCTTGACAGCCCTATTTAAAAGGCATGACAAAGGCCTCAAACAGTGTTTTGACAATGGATAAGAGGGCAAATTTTACTTTCTTTATTGTAACCGTATCTGCTGTGTCAATACTTATTTAAATTGACCCTCAACAATATATTGATTTGGGACAAAATTCCCCTTGACATTTAAGAATTTGTTCTTATTCTTTAAAAAGATCTCCAACCCTTTGTTCTGTCACAGCTTGTTTTTGCTTCAGTACCTCTGGTATTTTGAGGGATTTCAGTTTCATTATTATAGTTAAATATGTATTTTATGGTAATTTCTCAAAATGCAAATTTTCTGATTTTGGACAGCAGTAGTTTCCAACCTTTTCAGCCTGAGAAATGAACATTATTTCAAACAGGTCAAGAGCCACAATCAACATTTTTGGGCTCTCTGTTCTGCTCAGTCTAAAGGGAGCAGAACCACCTGCAGGTCCCATGCTGCGGATTTCCCCAACATAGGGTTAGTCCCAGTGGGCATAGAGAAATCATAGATGGCTTCTGTGTCTCCTTTCTCACAGTCCTTGTCACAGGGGCATTTCAGTGTTAGGAAGGGGTATGCTGGGGTTGAGAGGAAGAGTGATCAGAGTGCATTGTGGTCTGCCTATTGCATGGGAGGGCCTGTGGATACCATAACTACCTGACACTGGCTGCTCTAATCAACGCTGAGACAAAGTAGATAATTAGCGTGTGATAACTGGCTGTTGGTTCTCAAATTCTCTTTCTTTCCTTTTCTTCTGGGCTGCCCTTGATGGCTGTTTATGGGAAGGAGAGGGGAAGGAGAGCCATCCTTTACTAAGTGCTCCCCTAGTCTCAGGCAGTGCCCGCTGAATTCCTATCCTGCCCTCCCTGAGGCTCCCATAGTTCAGTAGGAAAGCAGGCAAATGGCATAGCCAGACTACTCTTTCTTCCTCCTATGATGCAGCAGGTGGTCACCAGGGGAACTGCTAAGCAACTGCAGCAGGGAAGGGATAGAGCTCCAAGTGCCCCCTACTGCCCCCCTGTCTTAATGGGGTCAATTCAAACACTGCAGTTTAAAAGTTTTAGGACACAACTCAGAGAACACATTTCCTATTAAGAATGAAATACATATTTTCTTCTTAACACTCACCATTCAGGGCCACAGTTTAGAGCCTCCAGAGCCACAGTTTGGGCCCCGCTGATATATAATGACGACTCTAAATTTAAATTAATATTAAAAACTAATTTTCAGAAATCTTAGAAGAAGATGAAAGTTAAACTGTATTTGGGAGACTTTCAGTCTTGTAGAACCCAATAACCTGTAAGTCTTAATATATCATAAGAGTTGAAATCATATCTTAATATAAATTCTAGAGATAAGGGTCATCTTGCATGAGGGTATCGTTATATGTACTGAGCAACTGTAATCTAAAAATAAATAGCACTTGACCAGATGTATCATTTATCAGTCACTAATGTACTGAGTAAATAAGCTGGTTAATTTCCATGTGTTATTCACCAGGGAGCTGGACTTTAATGAATAAAATTTTCTTAGTTGCTACTTGCTTGCAGGTAACCACAGTCTCCCTGTTGCTGTCATCCTAGACACTCTGCTATATCGCTAGGCTTGACAGAATTCAATTTTGTATTTGTTGGTAATTTTGATGGATAATGTCGATATTTATTTTAAGTATTTTTTTATTTTTATCAATTTAAATTTTCAGACCTCTGCAAAATTGAGTTTTAAGTGTTTTTTTTAAATTTTTGCTATTTAAATTTTAACAATTGTTAGAAAGTATAGGGGGTCAGTCAATAATTATTTAATGACAGTAGACAGTGAGATTCAAAATAATAAAGTTTTCAAATCGTTAAACACACACTAACATCACATGTCAAAATATAAAAGTATCCTTATATCAAATGCTAATAAGTTCTCAAACAGCATTTTTCTTACTTTGCCTACCTGTAAATTTAAATTATCAGTAGAAATATTTTTCATTGGTTTCTGTGTGTATGGTGAAATTGACATTTACCAACATTTATCAATAAAAATCTGATATTTCTAAAGTCAAAGTAGCATTGCTATCAAGACATATAAGATATTAAATCTACAAGATTAAATTCAACAAAGACAAGTGCTAAGTAAGAAAAAAATCAAATGTACAACTATATAATGGGGAATAACTGGCTAACTGGTAGTACTGCTGAGAAGAATCTGGGGGTTATAGTGGATCACAAATTGAATATGAGCCAACAATGTGATGCAATTGTGAAAAAGGCTAATATCGCTCTGGGGTGTATTAACAGGAGTGTTGTATGTAAGACACGGAAGGTAATTGCCTGCTGTGCTTGGCCCTGGTGAGCTCTCAGCTGAAGTGCTGTGTCCAAATCTCAGTGCCACACTTTATGAAAGATTGCATGAATTGGAGAGAGTCCAGAGAGCAACAAAAATGATAAAAATACTCCTGGGGGAATTCTGCATCAAAATATTAAAAATTCTACAAAATTCTATTTGTCAAAATAACACTATATAATCACATCAGTTTCAATTATTTTGGTAAATTATTTCAATATACCTGTCAGCAAGTATGTCTGTAACAATACAAACACAACAAATTCCCCCAGGAGTAGAGAGTTAAATAAACCCCTACGACAACCCAGTTCCTGCTTCTCTGTCCCCCCCCGCAAACCCAGCCATGGCCCCCCCCCCCCACCTAGATACTCACTCCCACCCCAGCCCAGCTGCAGGCCCCTCCTCCGGCCCAGACACTCACACCCCTTCCCTCCAGAGGCCAGCTGTGGACCGCTCCCCCCTGCCCCAGGCCCAGACGCTCAGAGACCCTACCCTCCTAGAGCCCAGGGATCCAGAGGGAGAAACAGTCTGATGCTGGATCACGGGCTTACTGGAGTTTCCTGTGCACTGCTGCCTCCTTCCTTCAGTGTGTGCAGGGGGAATTGCAGCTTCTGGGAACCCTCCAGTTTGCTCCCCCTTCCTGCAGCCTTGTCTTCTATTTGTGAGCTGGGCTCTGCTTGGTACAGCAGCCCTTAGTCGGAGCCAACATTTCTACAGCCCATTTCTCTAGGGAAAAAAAGAAAATTCTGTGCACACAAAATTAATTTCTGCAAAATTGTGAATTGCGCAATGGTGCAGGATTCCCCCAGGAGTATAAACAACATAGAAAAGCTGACCTTTAAAAAAACTGGGCATGCTTAGTCTTGAGAAAAGACAACTGATCCGGGATCTGATAACAGTCTGCAAGTATGTTCAGAGCTGTTACAAAGAGGATGGTGAACAATTGTTCTCCATGTCCACTGAAGGTAGGACAAGAAGTAATTGTCTTAATCTGCAGCAAGGAGGATTTAGGTTAGATATTAGGGAAAACTTTATAAGGGTAGTTAAGTTCTGGAATAGGTTGCCAAGGGAGGTTGTGGAATCCCTGTCACTGGAGGTTTTTAAGAACAGGTTAGACAAACATCTGTCAGGGATAGTCTAGAGGTTTACTTGGTCCTGCTTCAGCACAGGGGGCTGGACTTGATGACCTCTTGAGGTCCCTACATTTTTATTGTTCTATAAGATGACGTAGAAATAAAACAAAGCAGTACAAATCTAATAAAGTGTATGATTTTTGTGTTTTAGGTGAGTGTGCGTCCATTTGTAGAAGTTTCTTTCCAGCACACAGTTTATCAAACTAGCACTGCAGATGGATCTCATCCATGCTGGAATGAAGAACTTCAAGTGGATTTTATGTAAGTTGGCCACATACTTCTCCATGAAAAATGTACAAGAAAATAAAAGTATTTGAATGCTCCAGTGAAGAGTCAAAGTTTCCCATGGTTAGGTGGTTATATTTTGTTTCAAAAGTATTTTAAAGTTTTTCATTTAGGCTGCTGAACTCATCTGCCTTTCCGTATCTGTGTATAAGAGTTGGAGATGCAGTAGGAGGATTGAATGATTTAGGGCAGTAGTTTTCAACTTATTTCATTTGCGGACCCTTAAAAAATTTAGAATGGAAGTGCGGACCCTTTTGGAAATCTTAGAAATTGTCTGCAGACCTCCAGGGGTCCCCAGTCCGCAGATTGAAAACTACATATTCATGACCCTGAGGCTACGAACTGATGGTTTAGGACATTAGGAATGGGATACATTGTTTTTTCATCTCTAGGCCATGTTTTTAAACCAGCTAAGTCAGTAGTGACTAAAAGTTATAACCATCCAGTGGCCACTTGTCCGTTCGTTCGTTGGCATCTTCACTGAGTACAACAGACTATAAAAATGCACAAACCAAGTAAAAGAAGTAATGGAGAAGATAGGTTTGATATACAATGAAAAGAAATGTAAAGTCATGTTAATGGGGACTATAGGGACAGAAATCAAAACTGGAGAAGGTGGACAATTTTACGTATCTTGGAAGTACCATCAGCCAAGATGGTACTAGTTCCAAGGAAATAATAAGAATCGGGAAGGCAAACACTGCATTTGGAAGACTCAAAAACGTCTGGCAACTCAAAAACATCTCCCTCAAGACAAAACTGAATAGGTACAAAGTAATTGTTAATCGCCATCATAACATATAGCAGTGAGACGTGGCAACTTACCAAGAAAGATGGATGCATTTCATCACAAATGTCTGAGATGAATATTGGGAATAACATATAGAGATAAGAAGACAAATGAAGAAGTCAGAAAAATTACTGGACAAGGTACCCTTTCACAAATAATCTACAAAAGAAGACATCACTGGCTGGGACATGTGCTGAGAATGGAAAAAGAACGCTTACCAAATACCGCCCTTCAATGGAAGCCAGAAAACGCAAGAAGAAAGAGAGGAAGACCGCAAATAACATGGAAACAAACAGTTCTGAACAACATCAAGCACCTCAACATGAAATGGGAAGATTTGGAGAGAAGGGCAGTTGATAGGCAAGGATGGCAAATGTGGGTAGCCCAATGTGCAGCAAAGCACGGGATGGACTAAGTTCTAAGTGGCCACTTAGTCTGTTTGAATTGAGTTGGAATAATGGCTCTCAAACCTCCCCATCTCCCAATTTAGGGCATATGTCGGGGATAGGGTATGGGATGGAGTGGACCCAATATGAGGAACATGGCTGGAATGCTGTAGTTGCTCTGTTTTGTGCAAATGTAAAAACCATAAAGACTGTTATAAACTGGCACAATTTTAGAGCAACCCTGGGAGCTGAGAACTAGAATTAGGGAGGTGTGCAAAGGCAGTTTAAAACCACCTGTTTCCCACTTGGAAGAACAAAGAATCTGCCTCTGTATCTTCTGTTCGTTACATGAGCTTTCATTCAGTTGGTGCTCTGAAATATGTGAAAGAGTAGAAAATTTACTAAACATGGTTTAGTAAATATGAGATAGAAGTCAGTGAAAATACAGCAGTTTACACCAAAATGAGGATCTGGCACAATTTATTTGACTAAATATCTATTGACACAGTAATTAGAAACAAAATATGCTGGGTCAAATTCATCCCGGTGGGTAACTCCTTCAAAGTCAGTAGAGTTAAACTGGAGTGAAATTTGTCCTTTGATTTTTAGTGGCGAACATACCTATTTAGTTTTCCTTTAAAAATGTTTATGGTTCTGTAATATTTGAAGTAAATTACTGCCAAAAGTGATTGTGTTGTTTTTTAAAAAAATGATAAAGCTCTCTGATATACAATATCTGATTAAAACTAAAAGATTCTGTTCTTAATTACAGATCACCAGGACATGATTATAGCTTTTCAGGACTGTCTAAAATAAAAGACAATATATATGTCAACATTTTTGATGAAGTTAGGATGGAAAAACATGAGGTAAATTGTATAAAACACAACTGATTTTTATTACATTTTTTTGACGTTTGAAAACTATAACCATGTACATATCTCAGCTTCTTGTTTTCTTAACAAAAGAAGCTATATGTACTATTGTTTTCCAATTTTGAATAAATTCAGTTTTTAATTTAATTAAAAGCATGCTAGAAATGTCACAGCCAACCACTGTTGTCATTTGGGCCAAATTCTGTGAGGCATTTGTAAAGGCCTGTGGAATCTTGTTAATAGATTTTAAGGACAAAAGTCCATAACGATCATCTAAACTATAGCAGGTGTGGAAAATGTTTTTATTTTCTGAAAAGAAAGATAGCAAGCAAGCAAGAAACATTTTGATGAAGAGTTGAAAACTGAACATTTTGATTCAGAAATGCCACTGTGATGTCTCATTGGGTTTGTAGTTTGGGTGCCTCAGTCCACCATTCTCCTTTATGGGAAAGCCTCCTTGGCCAGACTACATCTCCCACAACTCATTGTGGGACCCCTTGTTGAACTATCAAAGTGCATAATGGGAATCTCCATCTGTAATGCCTCATGGGAGATGTAGTCTAGCTGAAGAACCCAACCCATAGAGGAGAATGGAGGCATGAGGCAGTTGAACTACAATTTCTGTGAAGTACTGTATCGATGTTTCTAAATTAAAAATTTTCTCTTTCAGCAGGTTTCAGAGTAGCAGCCGTGTTAGTCTGTATTCGCAAAAAGAAAAGGAGTACTTGTGGCACCTTAGAGACTAACACATTTATTTGAGCATAAGCTTTCGTGAGCTACAGCTCACTTCATCAGATGCATTCAGTGGACAATACAGTGGGGAGATTTATATACACAGAGAACATGAAACAATGGGTGTTACCATACACACTGTAACCAGAGTGATCACTTAAGGTGAGCTATTACCAGTGGGAGAGCGGGGGGGGGGACTTTTTGTAGTGATAATCAAGGTGGGCCATTTCCAGCAGTTGACAAGAACGTCTGAGGAACGGTGAGGGGTGGGGAATAAACATGGGGAAATAGTTTTACTTTGTGTAATGACCCATCCACTCCCAGTCTCTATTCAAGCCTAAGTTAATTGTGTCCAGTTTGCAAATTAATTCCAATTCAGCAGTCAGAATTAAATTGCAAACTGGATACAATTAACTTAGGCTTGAATAGAGACTGGGAGTGGATGGGTCATTACACAAAGTAAAACTATTTCCCCATGTTTATTCCCCACCCCTCACCGTTCCTCAGACGTTCTTGTCAACTGCTGGAAATGGCCCACCTTGATTATCACTACAAAAAGTCCCCCCCCCCGCTCTCCCACTGGTAATAGCTCACCTTAAGTGATCACTCTGGTTACAGTGTGTATGGTAACACCCATTGTTTCATGTTCTCTGTGTATATAAATCTCCCCACTGTATTGTCCACTGAATGCATCTGATGAAGTGAGCTGTAGCTCACGAAAGCTTATGCTCAAATAAATGTGTTAGTCTCTAAGGTGCCACAAGTACTCCTTTTCTCTTTCAGCAGAAATTTTTCTGTTTCTGCGTGTTTAGTTATTTAACAAAAAGTCAAAAATTTCCATGGAAAGCAGATGCTTGTGTGAAAAAATTAGTTTAATTGACTATAGTTTTTGATGAAATTTTTTTGACTAGCCTTACTCTATGCTGACTTCCTGCATAACAAAAGCTATAACTTCTGTTTGAGCTAGAATGTATATTTTAGAAAGACATAAAATTTTGTTTTAGACATCAAGTGACGGGGAATCTACCTCATCCATTGGTAAGTTGTTCCAATGGTTAATTACTTCCACTGTTACATTTTTGCACCTTATTTCCAGGTGGAATTTCTCTGGCTTCATCTTCTAACCATTGGCTCTTATTATACTTCTGTCTGCTAGCTTAAAGAGCCCACTAGTATCTTCTCTCTGTTTAGGTACTTATAGGGTGTGATCAACTCATGATAAGGGTAAAGACAGGTAAATGGAGTTTACCACTTCTCATTTGGGTAATATGGAGTTTAGCTTGTTAGTTTAGCCACTTCTTTTATTACATTCCACCATAGAATCATGTCTTAACTTTCTCTGTAATAAGCTAAATAAAGTGAGCTTCTTAAGTCTCTCACTAGAAGGCACGTTTTTCTGACTTTGAATTATTCTTGTGGCTCTTTTCTGAACCTTCTCCAATTCTCTTATATTACAAAATTATTTTTATGCAACACATACATTTTTCATCAACAGCTTAATGGTTATCACGTATTGTTTTATTAAAACAAGACACATGCTGAAATTTGTGATGCAATGACTACTACTTAAACTTTTACTCTAATGGACAGTGAATATACCTTACACATTATGGCTCATTTCATATGGAGATTTTCTATAGAACTTCCTGCTCCTGTACAATTTTATTTTTATTGTTGCCTTTGAAGGCGATAACATTTGGGTGGATTCTTGAGAAATGCAGCAGAGTTTAGAAAATAGGACCTCTGGTATAAACAGTTGGTTTATATATTCTTGATAATAAGATGTATCTGGTTTTTGAGCAGTTAGCAATATTTTTTTATCACAGTGAAATTCTTTAAGCCACTTCCTGTAACGTGACCCAGTGCAATGCTCCAGATGTTGTTATCATAGACAGTTTTGTCATCTGGAATGGAATTGCTAATAAGAAAATGTTTAACTGTCAGATGTACTGTATATAAGAAAAAGTAGTCACACTGCTAGCTTTCTGATTACTTCCTTGTTAGCTCATCTACAGGCCCCATTCCTGTAAATAGTTGTGCTGGTGTGGCCCCCTGTATCAGCATGTATACCACTGACTTTGGTGGCACAGAGGCAGTGCAATATTTGCTTGCATGCTAGGGTCTCAGTGAGCTATAGATTTGTAAAATTGTAATAATTTAAGAAAATTATACCCACTTCTGTGACACATACAAGAAAATAGCTGACTAAGTCATCTACTTATCTATTTAATATATTTATCTTCTGAATGAACAGCTGGAGGGAGTGCTGAACGCTGGGAGGAAGAGGCATAAAGACATTGGAAATGAAACAGAGAATTAGCATCCTGCAAACTGAGCATCATTTTCATCTCTCTCCTTTCCCTTCACCTTGTTTCCAGGCTGTGTCAAAATCCTATCACTTTTTCCTTCATAACATTTCTAAGACCTGATCTTTTCTTTCTGTCTGCTCAGCTGAAACTCTTGTCAAAGCCCTCATCATCATCATGCAGTCTAGATGACAGCAACCACATCCTCCACACCTGCATCACTGTTCCCCAGTCTAGTCAAACGGCAACTGACACAGGGGAGTCCTTACATGGTGCAGTGCCGGTATACGCAGATGCACACTGCCTGTTCCCCTGCTTTCTAGATAGGGGTCGGGGAAGAAATACTCCAGCGTGGAAAGAGGTGGAGTTGGGCAGACCACAAAGCACTCTTTATGATCCTCGTCTGGTACAGTAGTCTCTATGGGGTTGTTACTGCCAGCATAATTTAGAGCATTCCTTAGGGTGCTCTGAGTTATGTTAGTGGCCATTTTGGTGCAGCATTGGGGAAGTGGAGCTTTCTTCCCTGCTTTCCTTAGATATGCTGAGTGTAAACTGGGCATAGCTGTAGATTGAGCCCATGAGTCTTTGAGCTTCACTGATAATGGGAAAGTTTTTTAAAAAGCCTCTGGATTTTATTGTGAAAGCATTTCACTTTGAGAAAATATGGATGTATTTGTTGATCAGATTCAGTTTTTTATGAGCAACTCACTGGTTCTATGAACACCTTGTTGAGTCTATTCAGCTTGGTATTGATTGCCTTTTGTTGCCACAGCCACAACTGAAAATGTGTATAGACCAGAGATAGATATGTGTGTACATATACTGGTAAGCTTCCAAAGGTTGTGGTATCAGTGTCAGCTAAGATACACACACCCACTTAACTACAGCTAACCCTGACTATGTATTTCAATAGGATACTTGTCTTAAGGGTTGCAGTGGCCACTCGTATATAAGAAAGAACTGGTTTGGATCAGTTACTTTTCCTTTTTCTGCTCTTCTGGAACAATCAAAGGTAATTATAATAAAAACATTTTTAAAACTTCTGTTAGGTCAGCAAGATTTTAAGATGTTTACATTGTCAATAGCCGTGATCCTCATACATTAGAAAGAATAATTTTTTTTATCATTATGTAACTCCTGTGGGCTTTACCATTTGTTTGTGGACACAGTTAATCTTTCCCTGCATAATCAAGGGAGATCAAAAATACAATCTAATTTGCAATAGCAATTCCAAGACACAAACTTCTCCCAAAATCTTTTAATGGGAGCACTGGTTTTAACTCCATTTGCCACAGCAGTGAAAGCCTATCTTAGATTGTTCAGAAACTGCTTTTCCATAGGGTGAGGAGAAGTAAAAGGCTGAGGGGAAACTGCACTGAAGTTTGCAAGAGCCCCATAAGAATTTCCAAGGAGAATGCAGGATTCAGCCAGAGCACTCTGCTAATCTTAGTCAAGCTGTAGACTCTTTTGCTGACCCAAGGAAAATAAGACCTTGTTATTTCTTGGGAGGACTATGGGAAAATGCCATAGTAGGGACCTAGAAAAGAGAGACAGAGTGACTACCCGATCCTACCTATTTTAGAAGCACCTGAGTTCCTACTCACCAGCCAGGAAAGATATAAATTGTGAACAGATCTGGGAAGCCTCTTGCTATGGTTTAGAGTACACTACACAACCTTGCTCTCATCCAGAGACTCAGTAATGTTGGGATTCCCTCAGAGACCTTTCCACTCAGCTTATCCAGAACACCTCGTCCATTTCTGGGAGAACATTTCATCCAGTTCTCTGGGATCCAAAAACTCAAACACCAGGTCGTCACACAGGTTACTTTAATAGGCATGTAACAGCTCTCTGATGATGCTGGCCAGGCCGAGATGAAGGGGGTTTAGATACAGGGTGATACTACAATTCCAATTCATGTCATGCATCACACAGTTTATAGACATCTTTCCTAGCTATTAACATCTATACTTCTTGCACGTAAAGACCAATTGCTTTGCAGATAGCATAAGGCAAGCTTATCAGTTCAGATTGTTTCTATTCCTTTGTTTACTACAAACATACCCACAATAGTTAGTCTAGTTAGTTTGGCTCCCTTTTTTATTCACAATAGTTAGTTGTTTCAGAATTACTTGTTGGGGCTTGTTCAGCAGTTACTAGTTCAGGTATGTCATGTCTTAACTTGGGCCTACTCAGGTCAGCTAAGTCAGTCCTACAAGTGTCTCCTACGAGATCTTCACCCTTTTGCTGCTTTGTTTACCCTTCCTCCTACCCCATCATTGGTGTGGCTTACCTGTTGAAACAAGTCCTACTGCCTATGAGCAGCCCAACTTTCTGTAGGCTTAAGACTGAGTTTTTTTGTAATTAAATAGTCAGTAGTCCTAATTAATATATATCCTGTATTGAGAGTTAGTTTTGCGTAGGATTTTGTGTGGGAAGATTGGGCTAAGGGGTGCTATATTATAATTGTATTTGCAGTAAAGTTGTTTAACCAGCCATTTTTACAATCTTCTGTTATTTAAACTATTTAAAGTGAACAACACATCTTCTGTATGATTTTTTTCACCCGCGCTTTATGTTCTCCTAGCTCCTTAGATTTTAAGCATTGCTGGTATTAGGTTAAGTGTGTTGTTCTAAATTTCCCTGTATATTTTCGTGGGTCTGAAGTTTGCATTCATGATGTAAGACTGTTTCTACAGGTAGGGGCACCATCTGTTCTTTAACTTGGCACAGGGTATGACTTCCTGGAGAACCCCCCAAAAGGTTCTCCCGTTTAAAATTTGAGGATTGTTGCCCTTATCCAGAATCTAGTGAGTGGAATCCCTGTGAAAAAAGCATAAAAATTAGGTTTATTTCCTTTTATTGCACATGATATAATTTGGATCATTATTACCTTTATATTTTGTTATAACATCTCTTGCACTGTCGTTTGTTTGTTTTACCTAATATAATCATCTAAATATGTTCACAGATCTGTGGTACATTTCAAGTAAATATGCCACCAGTTTTGCTTGGATACACTTGGAGCAAGACTTGTGTATCTCCTAAAGAAGAGCATTGTGGACAGAATTTAAAAGAATATACCTTTTTAACCATCTTTGCTACAATTGAACCTCAGCTATCTTCTGTTGAAAATGATTCAGAATCAGATAAGGTTGGCATTTATACTTAATGTGCATCATCAAAATGAAGACTTGCAGAGTAGGGTAAATTTATTTCTTAAAGCAAATGGTACTTTTTTGTAGGTATTTTGTATTTTAAAGTCAGTCTTTGAAATCGGAAATATTAACATTGTAACTGTAATTATGATTCTAGTTTGCAGATTGTGAAGATGAAACACTTTTACAAAGAGCATGCATTTTTAAAAAAAATTGCAAGGCAAAATTTCCAAAAAGAAGAATAACAACCTCTGTTTTTGACAATGAAGGAAGAAATACTTTAGTAACAAAATATATTAGGGCACTAAATCCGCCACAGCTGCTACTAGATATGTATCCTGATGATCCTAATGCAACTTTTGTAAGTATGAGTTTATTTTCTGTCATACAGTAAGAACATTCAGAACTGCTGAAATTAGTCTGACATTCCTGAATTACTATAATAATTTATATTTTTTTCTTTGTAGCTGCTATAGAGGCTCATATTTATTACCTTAGTAATTCTTGATAGCATGACAAGAAACTTAGATTAACTGTAGTTTTATATTTTTAATAATCCAAAATTAAGATCTATTCAGTAGATATTTATGACATGTGCGCCTTGGTATTTACATATATTCCTATTTCATTTATAGGATCTTATTTCTCGATTTGTGTCTTTAATTCCTTGCGTATCAGATACATTGAATGAAAATGCTGATGTTGATGTTTGGATGACATCAGAGGTAATAATCACATTAAATAATAGATGTAGATGAGTTAATAGATTGTTGAAATAATCTGTTTTACGTACATTAAAATTCTGCATGGAAAATATTTTGGTTTACAGAGCAAAAAGCCAAATCTTGACTGCTTGCCAACCACAGATTAAGACTCATGTCATCCCTTAGCCCAGTCAAATCCATAAAAGGGGGAATGAGCTCTCAGGAAACTTCACAAGCTAAATCATGTGGATTTTGTGAGAAATCCTCCCTCAGTGAGTAGGGTGGGAGGAGGGAGGTTTACATAGGAGGCAAGGCAAGACTGTCTCCAAAACCTTCAGAATCCAGATATACCCATGTTATGTCTCAGCGTCCCCCTTCTACCAATAGACAGCTTTCTGAGGAGCGTGCTGTCATTGGCAATCTCCTTGGCTTCCGCTCTGCATTCTATAACTAGATGGGGAGATGACAGCATAGCATTTCTAGTAAATAGCTTATTCTTTACTATTTTGCATTTAGCATTGCATCAATTTGGCTGTTGGAAATAAAGAAGAGCATGCAGTGCTTCTGTGTAACTACCTTCTGTATTTTGGGAAAAAAGCATGGGTACTGTTGGGAACATCAGTATTAGAAGTAAGTGCCATAATTTAAAAAATGTTTAAATCTTCATTGGGTTCATCCCCCATAACAGCATAAACAATGTAACGTGCTAAAGAGAATAAAATGTGTAGTCAATAACATACCAAGACAAAAATATTGGAAACATCAGGATTGCCATGCCATATCAGACCAGTGGTGCTTGTCCAACATCCTGTCTTCCACAGTGGCCAGTACTACTTGCTAAGAGAAAGGTCCATTAAACCCAATTGTGGACAACTATGGAATAGTTTTCCTTAATAAACATTTCTTCCTAGCTCCGCATGAGTTAGAGATTGGTTTGCAGCCTGGATGATTTCATCATCTAAGTAAATGTTTAATCCTGCTACGCTCTTGGCCTCAATGACATTGGTGAAAATGAGTTCCACAGCTTAATTATGTAAAAGTATTTATTTAATCAGTTTTAAATTTGTTGCTTTTCATTTTCACTGCATGGCCCTTTATTCTTATGATGAGAAAAATTAAATACGACATAAAAATTAAATCTCTATTACATTTGTTGTTTTACATATCTCTAGTGTGTCCTCTTATTCATCTCCTCTTTAAACAGCCCCATTTTTTTCAGTCTCTCCTAATCTGGTCACAGACAGCATTCATATTTGAAATCAAAGTGAATATCTATGTGAGGCTTGTAAGATTAGGCCCTATTTTCACAAGATAGAGAAATATTCATGAGGCAGCATCGGGTAAACTTGCCCTTGCCGCACCTGTTCTTTCAATAAACAGAAGACTACAATCTCTTGGAATGTCAGTCTGGCACCTTTCACTAAAGAAAAATAAACTATTTGTAAAAGACTGAGGAAAAGTAAATATTGGAAGCTAATTTTACTTTCTTCATTGGAATTGTGTATATATATAAAATTGATGACATCTACTTTTTGTTGGTAGGGAAAAGTGGCATATGTATTAACTCATGAAAATGAAGAATATTTCCTTTGGAATCCCTTGAATGGACAGTGTTATAAACAGTTTGATACATTTTGTCCCTTACAGAGTGTTGACTGCTTAATCAATTGGGAAAACGTAAGTATATAAAATTAAACCAAAAGATACAAGAAATAGTGTCATGTTAGTTGTAGACAAAGTATTAGGTGATATTTTAAGGGATCAAATAAAGTAATGTAGAATTTACAAAGAATAGGATTCAGGATATTTATATCATTTTAGAGACAGCAAAACTTTGCTGCTTTGCTAGCTAACTAGTATTCAGTATGTTACTACTGTATAGAAACTAATATGGTTCTACTCCGGTCTTTAGATGCTGTCTAGTATTTCGGTATGACTGAATCTGTGAGATCCCAAACATTTTGTTATGATTCTGCATCATATGTTTCATCTGCACTACCTTCCACAATGGTGGAGAATAGGATATTTTAATTATGTATTATCTCTTTAAATTTTCAATAATTAAATAGAGAGGAAGATATATTACTACTATGATAAACCATGGGATAAGAACAACTTCAGGTACTGTACATAGGAGTTTATAAAGCAGATTGCAGACTACTACATGAAAGTGTATTGTTTCTTTAAGAGCATTATTTTTATTTTATTTTGGAGTGTGCTAAACACTTCAGATCTGTACTGCAGATTCTTAAAGTATGGGTCTGATCTTGCAGTGTTCTTAATGCCCTCAAGTCTTGACTTCAGCGAGAGGCAAGAGTACATAGCATCTCAAGAAATACCCACTGCAGGAATGGGTTCCTCGGTAGTTCCTCTGCACCATAAAGACAGCAATATCTTTGTTCCACATGTTAGGACTACAACTGAACATCAAGAAATCCATTCTGAGATTGGTGCAAAGTATAGAGTTCATAGAGGCCTCCCTAGATGCAGGTTCATGACATTAACAAACCTTGTATCAAAAATTCAAATCAACAAAAAATTGCCTTCAGTTACTCGGACACATGGCAGCTTGTACCTGTGTGACTCAATATGCTATGTTATGTCTTTGTTGCTTCCCTGGCTCAGAACAGTTCATATTTCAAACAAACAGCCTGAAAAAGCTGGTGTCAGTCCCTCATCAAGTAGAAGACACTCTCAATTGGTGGAAAGACCCCGACAATGTCTACACAGATGTGCCATTCATCCAACCTTCCCCTTCAATCAGCGTAATGACAGATGCATCTCTGGTGGCCACATTTAGGGATTCACACCATTCAGGGCAAATGATCTACCCAGGAGACACAGTTACTCCTCAAACTCCTGGAGCTGAGGGCTGTCAGGAATGCCAGTATCCATTTCCTGCCTTTAATCAGGAACAGATCCATAAAAATCATGACAGACAATGTAGCCTCCATGAATCTGGCAAGTTGTGTGTGTGTGTGGGGAGAGATCCCCTTCCTTTTGTGCCAAAGGAATAAAGCTATGGAGCTGATGCATAGCCAACTGCATCCTAATCTTGGAAGTTTACTTCCTGGGTATACAAAACGCTATGGGTGGTGACCTCAGCAGGCAGTTCTCCCAGAATTACAAATGGGAGCTCCTCAGACTCTCAAGCACATTTTTCTGACTTTCGGAGTTCCAGAAGTGAATCTCTTCGTCATCGTTACCAACAGAAATTGCAAACAATTTCGCTTGGGGGCTGAGTTATAGGTCCTCCCTGACTGGGGGACGTGCTTTCCTTGTTCTGTGGACAAGAGGCCTTTTCTGTGCACTTCCTCCAGTGCCTCTGATTTTGAAGGTGGTAAATAAGATCAAGCAAGACAAAGTCAAGATAATATTGTTAAATCCAATGTTCCCACACAGGGCTGGTACCCTTTGCCTTGCTGTTTGTCTGGTGATGAGCCTTCCATCCGTTCCCAGCCTTCTCTCTCTAGATGCTGGGCAGACTCTCCATCCTAACCTGGGAATTTTTCACCTCAAGTCTTGGTTACTCAGTGGTTCACAGGAGTACAGACCTCCTGTTCTGCAGAGGTACAGAAGGTGTTTTTAAATAGTAGGAAAAGGTCTACATGAAATACTTACTTGCAAAATTGGAAAAGGTTTCCACACTGATGTATTCAGCTATGTCTTTAGCCTTTTTTTTCTTCATTCTCTGCTGTCCTTGACTGTCTACTGGAATCCAAAAAGTCCAGGATTATATATGAGTTCCCTGAGAGTCCACCTGCTATCTATAACAGCCTTTCATTCCCTGGTTGAGGGATTCTCAGTGTTTGCTCAGCCCACCACTGCAAGATTCATTAAGGGATTAAGAAATTTTTAATTCACATTAGAGAACCCATCCCTGTATGGGATTTAACTTTAAACTTTTTACTCAGATGTCTTATGAAACCCACTTTCAACATGATGGCCACTTATTTCCCTCTTTCACCTATCCATGAAAACAATCTTGTTGGGGGCCATCACTTCTGCTAGAAGAACTAGGGAACTGGGAATTTTAATGGCAGACCCTCCCTTTACAATGTTTTCCAAGGACAAAGTCTAATGTCCACTTCCAAAAATTTTACCTGTTATCATCTGAATTTCATATCAGTTAGGTCATACATTTCCCAGTTTTCTTCCCAAAACCACAGCAGACCAGGGAAGATGCTGCCTTCCATATCCTAGATGTCAGGAGGGAGCTAGCCTGGACAGAACCAGATCATTCAGAAAATCTCCAAGACTGTGTCAATTGCTGACAGGTCAAAGAGACCACAATTTTCACCCAGCGGCTCTCTAGTGGATTTTTGAATGTATTATTTCTTGCTATGAATCTGCTGATTTACAACCTCCCTCTATGGTATTGGCCCACTCCCTGAGATTACTTTCTACTTCTGTGGCATTACTCAAAAATATTCCCATTTTTGAGATCTGCAAAGCTGCAAATTGGTTTTCAGTACATATATTCTCTAAGCGCTATATGTTGCTTCATTCTTCTAGATCAGATGCTCCTCTTAAGAACACAGTTTTGTCTTTAGTGTTAGACTCAGCTCTGAAGCTCCCTTCTTCTGTTGAGGATACTGCTTGGAAGTCACCTGAAGTCAAGGACATATAGGGACATCACTCAAAGAAGAAGGAAGGTTACTCAGTTTGTGCAGTAACTGGAGTTTTCTGAGATGTGTGCCCTATGGGTGCTCCACTACCCACTCTCTTTCCCTTCTGCTTTGGAGTTTCCTCTGTGGGACTTGGTAGTGGAGAAGGAACTGAAGGTGGTTCTCCCACACAGTCCTACATATCCTCTGTGTGAGGCACGAGGACGTGTAGGGCACATGTGTGGGTTGAATGCGCACTGCTAACAAAAATCTCCAGTCAAAGGCTCATGGGGTATAGGGACAGCTGAAGTGGAGCACCCACAAGGACACACATCTTGAAGAATTCCAGTTATTTCATAGCATAAGGAGCCTCTCCTTTTCCACACATTCCCCTCACACCTTGAGTCCTGAGGAAAATCAATCAGGACAGAGTATCAATAATCTTAGTGGCTCTCTGGTGGCCAAGACAGTTTTGTTTTATCAGCATTTCCCAGATGGCTTCACATCTATGCATACGCATCCAGCCATTTCTGAACCTGCAGAATGAGGGCAAGCTCAACTATCCCAAGCCAATAGCCCTCCACCTCACAGCCTGGTATTTGGGTGGACAGTGGACACAAAGGCTCATCCTCTGAAGAGGCTCAAACTGTTCTCCATAACAGCAGGAAAATATCTACGAGAAAATGTTATACAGCTAAATGGAAGAAGTTTTCCATCTGGTGCCAACGTCATCACAAATCTCCAGAGAACTTGGGGATCCAACCATCTTTGACTATCTTTTGGTTCGTTAAAGACATCAGGACTATTCCTTAGCTTGGTGCATGTACGTCTGCCAGTGATTAACGCCTTCCTTCCTCCAGTGGAGAACTGCTCAGTCTTTACCCACCCTGTGACCGTGAGGTTTCTGAGCGGTCTCACCAGAACTTTTCCTCTAGTATTGAAACCAACACTTATTTGGGACCTTAATCTGGTACTGCCAACACTCATGAATCACTCATGTGAACCTTTGGCCTCCTTGTCCCTTCTCCATTTCTCTATAAAAGTGGCTTTCCTGAAGGCAGTTACCTCCACCAGAAAAGTAGATGAGCTTGGGTGCCTTATGGTGGATCCTTCCTACACAGTTTCTATAAGGATAAAGTGTCTCTTTGAGATACCCCAAATTCATTCCATAGGTTTCCTCCGAATTCCTCTTTAATCAAATCATACACTTACTTTTTTTTTTAACCAAAACTATTTCCTCGCAAAAAGAAAAGGAGTACTTGTGGCACCTTAGAGACTAACCAATTTATTTGAGCATGAGCTTTCGTGAGCTACAGCTCACTTCATCAGATGCATACCGTGGAAACTGCAGCAGACTTTATATATACATAGAGAATATGAAACAATACTTCCTCCCACCCCACTGTCCTGCTGGTAACAGCTTATCTAAAGTGATCAACAGGTGGGCCATTTCCAGCACAAATCCAGCTGGAAATGGCCCACCTGTTGTTCACTTTAGATAAGCTGTTACCAGCAGGACAGTGGGGTGGGAGGAGGTATTGTTTCATATTCTCTATGTATATATAAAGTCTGCTGCAGTTTCCACGGTATGCATCTGATGAAGTGAGCTGTAGCTCACGAAAGCTCATGCTCAAATAAATTGGTTAGTCTCTAAGGTGCCACAAGTACTCCTTTTCTTTTTGCGAATACAGACTAACACGGCTGTTCCTCTGAAATATTTCCTCACAGAAACTCTCTAAATGGATCTCAGGTTGCATCTTGCATTGCTATGAGTAAGTGGGAACTCCTCCCCCCTTGGAGATGTTTCCCTACGAGATCTGTAGAATGGCAACATGGGGCTCTGTGCATATTTTTACTAAACATTACACCCTAATACAAACTACTTCTTCAGACACATCCTTTGGTAGAGTGGTCCTGCAATGTGTGGTGCAGAATGGTTCCTTTCACCCTCCACCATGATGAATACTGCTTGGGAATCGCCCCCAATGAAATACCTATAGGGACCACTACTCAAAGAAGAAAGGAAGGTTACTTACCTTACAGTAACTGGAGTTTTTTGAGATGTGAGGTTTCTATGGGTATTCCATGACCCGCCTTCCTTTCCCTCTGCTTTGGATCCTTCCCTAAGGTGATTTGTAGTAGAGAAGGAGCTGGAGATGGAGAGGCAGTTGGTCTACCCCACCCCTTGTGCCCTCATTTTGGTGCACAGGGTGCAGTTGCAGACCAACAGACACAGCTAGTGAAAAAATCTTCTGGTCTCAGGCTCATGGAGTGTATGCGCACCCCCCACACCGTGGAATACCAATAAGGACCATATGTCTCAAAGAACTCCAGTTACTGTAAAATATGGAATCTTCCTTTTCCATTTGACTTCTTTGGGAGTTCCCCATATGGATGACTTGCAGGTTCAGGCCCTATGTTTGTATTAGTGAAATATTAGCCAAAACTACAGGTGTTTAAGCCTGATCCTCTTCAGTTGTCAGTACAAGTGTGCAATTGCTTCCCTCCATCATACTATATAATGGCATTTCTCTGACTTATCATATACTTGTTTTGGTATTAAAGGAAAACATTTAAAAGTACATTTCACATCTTTTAATTTAAAACAATTTTTGTAGATTGATTGCCACATTTTATACTAATGTTTTGATAGGTCTGGTTTAATACACAGCAAAACAGTTCACCAACGTGCGTAAGTTTTGAAATTTCAAAGGAAGGTTTTTGGAGACAATTTCTACCACACAATTTTCAATGCATAAAAACACAAACTGTACAGGTAACTCCTCCAATTTTCAAAATTTATCTGTCTGATATAAATTATAGTAATTATCATTGGCAGTAATTGCTTGAATACCCCACCATTATAAGCAGCTGTAAATCCTGCTAGGAAAAGGTTAAGTGGGTTGGCTATGTTGATTTAGATGCAGGTGACTAGTTACTGAATATAATGGATTTGTGAGTGACTCTATGAGGAAAGGTGTGTGTTGAGCAGTCTTGAAGGAGCAGCCAAGCCTGCAGAGAAGGTTTGAACTGAACCATGTCACCTTATTGTTATAAGAGCTAAACAAAGTGGGTTGGTAAAGGTGCCTGCTTAACGTGCCAACTCTGTTTTCACTAAGATAGTAAAAGTTAGTGGGCAGATCATTGACTACTGCTGAGGATCACACAGTGCAAATCAGGGGTTGTGGAAGGTCTATATGTGCGTGCCAAGGTGACATAAAGCTCATCTTTGCACTACCCTGATTATGGGGCTGTTATGTGCAAGACCGATCTTCACATATAAACTAGAGCAACCAGAGAATTGGTCTAATTGATGTGGCTGTTAACAGCCCCGATGGGGCCAAAATCACAGCTCGGGATTGGAGCAGTGTGTACGTTTCCCTACCATGGCCCCTTCCCTCCACCCACACACTCTGTGTGTGCAGCTGGGATGATCTTCAGAGGGCCAACTGTGCTTACTCTATGTACATATTCCACTGACAATGTATGCAAAGTAGCTGCACTTCATTTGAGGATCTGGCCAAATGTCTTGTTATATCTTATATGTATACTTGATAGGATGTTATCTCTTTCAGCCAAAAGTAATACTTTACACCCCTACTAATGGAAGCATGGTAGAAGAACTACAGAACAGGTAGGAATCTTTTTGAATACTAAAATATGTGACCATAATGGAAGTTGGGGTGCTCAGCTTCTTGGGAAATCAGGTCAACAGTCCATTACTTTTCTACCACAAATTTATCTTTTCAGAATGGCCTGCTAATAGAATTGCCTGAAGTAAATATTAATTCTGTGTATACTAGCCATGATTATCTAAAAGAAACAAAGTTTTAGGGACAGATCATCAAAAATAAATGCTTTAAAGGGTCTCAGGGAATTTTGTTAAATTTAAGTAATGAAACATGATTATTTACATATAGGGCTGTCGATTAATCGCAGTTAACTCACACAATTACTCAAAAAAATTAATCGCAATTAATCACACTGTTAAACAATAGAATCCCAATTGAACTGTATTAAATATTTATGGATTTTTGCTACATTTTCAAATATATTGACTTGAATTACAACACAGAATACAAAGTGTACAGTGTTACACTATTTTTATTACAAATATTTGCACTATAAAAATGATAAAAAGAAACAGTATTTTTCAATTCACCTCAAACAAGTGCTGAGGTGCAATCTCTTTATCATGAAAGTGCAACTTACAAATGTAGATTTTTTTTGTTACATAACTGCATCCAAAACCAAAACTGTGTAAAACTTTAGAGCCCACAAGTCCACTCAGTCCTACTTCTCATTCAGCCAATCGCTAAGACAAACAAGTTCGTTTACATTTACGGGAGATAATGCTGCCCGCTTATTTACAGTGTCACCTGAAAGTGAGAACAGGGGTTTGCATGGCACTTTTGAAGTTAGCATTGCAAGGTATTTACGTGCCAGATATGCTAAACATTTGTGTGCCCCTTCATGCTTTAGCAACCATTCCAGGGGACATGCTTCCATGCTGATGACGCTCATTAAAAAAAAAAGACTTAATTAAATTTGTGAATTCCCTGGGGGAGAATTGTATGCCTCCTGCTCTGTTTTACGTGCATTCTGCCATATATTTCATGTTATAGCAGTCTCGGATGATGACCCAACACATGTTGTTTGTTGTAAGAACACTTTCACCTCAGATTTGACAAAATGCAAAGATGGTACCAATGTGAGATTTCTAAGGATAGCTACAGAACTCAACCCAAGGTTTAAGAATCTGAAGTGCCTTTCAAAATCTGAGAGGGACAAGTTGTGGAGCATGCTATCAGATGTCTTAAAAGAGCAACACTCTGATACAGAAACTAAGAACCCGAACCACCAAAAATGAAAATCAACCTTCTGCTGGTAGCATCTGACTCATGATATGAAAATGAACATGCGTCGGTCCTCACTGCTTTGGATCATTATAGAGCAGAACCCATCATTGGCATGGACGCATGTCATCTGGAATGGTGGCCGAAGCATGAAGGGACATATGCATCTTTAGCACATCTGGCACATAAATATCTTGCAATGCCAGTGCCACGCGAAGGCCTGTTCTCAGGTTCAGATGACATTGTAAACAAGAAGCGGGCAGCATTATCTCCTGCAAATGTAAACAAACTTGTTTGTCTGACCAAGTGGCTGAACAAAAAGTAGGACTGAGTAGACTTGTAGGCTCTAAAGTTTTACGTTGTTTTATTTTTGAATGCATTTTTTTTGTACAGAATTCTACATTTGTAAGTTCAACTTTCATGATAAAGAATTTCCACTACAGTACTTGTAATGGGGGAATTGAAAAATACTATTTCTTTTGTTCTTTTACAGTGCAAATATTTGTAATAAATATAAAGTGAGCACTGTACATTTTGTATTCTGTGTTGTAATAAAAATATATTTGAAAATGTAGAAATCATCCAAAAATATATAAATAAATGGTATTCTATTGTTGTTTAACAGCGTGATTTAATCCCAAGATTAATCGCGATTAATTTTTTAATCACGCAATTAATCAAAATTATTTTTAATTGCTTGACAGCCCTATTTATAAACATTTCATAACTTTTATCGCAGGATCGAAAAGACCTTAAAAAGTAAAATAATGGAATGGCGATTTCATCAACCAACTCGGTGGCATCGACAATGTACTGCTCTTCTACGACAAATTCTTCCCAAGCTAGAATTAAGAAATAGGAGCTTTGTTACAGACAAAGAAGAAAATGAATTGGAAAGTTTACTGGAACATTATTGGGTTAGTATTTATATTAGAAACAATTTAATTGTATAATTTAAATTATAAACAATATTGAGAGATTTTTATATCTATAAAGGTAAAAACTATGTATGTGTAGTATAAAGAAGGCCTTGTATATAAATAGCTGCAGCACTGAATACAGAAACTCATTCATGATCAAACATCTTTTAATACTGCTTTATTTTAACAGCAGATTATAAGGGAGGAAATAATGACTAGCTCTATAAAAAAGAAACAAAAATAACTTTAAAATGCTCAAGATAAGAACCACAGACTTAGAATATGTAAAAAAAAGTTTTTGCCAGAATGCATCTTATAACAGATCTCACATTTGGAAATTTATTTTCTGATATATCTTTTCATAATTTCACCCTTCTGGTTTTATGTTTTAGAACAAGAAAGACAGCTTATTTCCATCTTTGCTGTTTATATCTTTTAGATATGTTAAGATGGTTATTTAGTCTCCTACTCCTTAGTTATCATTTAGATGGATTGTACTAGTTATTCGTCTTCAAGTGATGGTCCCTATATGTATTCGACACATGGGTGCACTTGAGTCCGGAAGTGTTTCTTAGCAGTGTCCATTGACTTGCACAGACATATGGCGACTCCTTGAGCTCTCAGCTGAGGGTATAAGAGGTAGTGCAGGTTGACACCTCTTTAGTTTTCTCTTACTGCTGCATGGCCTGAGTTGGAACCCCTGTTTCTTTGCACTTTTAGTTTGCTAAAAGAGTAACTTACTTTATACATACTTTGTCTTAGTGATAGTTAGATAAGTTTTAGTGTAAACGGAAGCTGGACCAGGGTAAGGCCTTCGAGGTGACAAAATGGTAAGGGACTGGTCACCTGGGAGGGCTGGGGTCCCCCTTGCCACCAGCAGCAGAGGGAAGGTGCAGGGTCCCCCACCCCCTCCCAGGCGGGGAGCTGTGGGAATCTCACTGCCACTGCAGCAGTGGGGAGCTGCGGGGGTCCCCCTGTCCACCTGTGGTGGCTGGGGAGCTGCGGGGGTCAGTACCAAAAAACCCACCACTTCCTAAAAATGTTCAGTTTGCTGATTATCCAGGGCATACATAAAAAACAAACAAAACAGATCAGCGGGCTTCTTCCCATACTCAATCTGTGAGAAATTCACCCATATTCTCACATGCCAAATGAGGCTTAGATGCCACTTAAGACCTCAAAATATGGTTGAAATAGGACTTTTGATTCTGGGTGAACTTCATCCTCCATGAATATGAGAGGATCAAAACAGCTTGATGTGGCCACAGGATTCCCATTTTAGGAAATGGCCAGGTGTATTTGTTTGAAGGCAGTCTTTTTTGTTGTTGTTTTAAACAACTATCATTATTTTAGGACATGTTTAATTCAGTCAATAAAATACCACAATTGTAAATCAGCTTTTGTACAGTGTGTGGGAATGAGGAAGATGTAATATCATAGCGATACAGTAGGATAGATTTTTATTTCAGTTACTCCAGTGTATATTTGGAGTAGCTCCACTGACTCAGTGGAATCCCTCTTTGCTATCTTAACCAAGTGAGACACAAACAAAAGCATGCAAAAATTTTCACAGATTCACTGAAAATCTTCCGTATACTAGTTATCATACAATTTCTGCCACAAACAGTAAAACAGAATTTAGATTGAGAAAATACATCACAGAAAAAAGGCTTTTAAGCTTTCAAAGTTTCTGTTCTGTAACTTCACTTTAAATCATAGTACTTCGGATATTCCATTTTCTTGAAGGAAAATGTTTCTACAATGATTTTATTTATCATGGTCATATTCCATAGATTCTCCTGAAAGATCTATTCATTAAATAGAAAAATGGAGCTGGCTGGGGAAGCAACAGAGCACTAACTCTAGTTATATCAACATTACGAAAGAAAAGCAGAATTGTGTTCCAGTTATAAGTAATCCCTTGTGTGTTATTGTTTTCCCTTTATACTGTGCATCTGCTCATAACACAAGTATAAATGTTACTGTACATTAAAATTTATTTAAAAATTCTTCATAATGATTTATTATAAGATACCCTCTTTGGGTGAGATTCTGTGCTATGCCTCTAGAGATATAGCTACACTTCAAGCTGGAGGTGTAAATTCCAGTTTGAGGAGACATACCTGCACTAGCTCTGATTGAGATAGTGCACTAAAAATAAAATTGTAGCTGTAGCAACAGCAGGGACTAGCTGCTCTGAGTACCTATTTGTGTCTTGGATGTACCTGGAGTACGAAGTTAGTGTCTTAGTGTAATTGGGACAATTAGTCCCTCCCATAGCTTGCGCTGCTGTGGCTACACTTTTTAGCACTCTAGCTTGATCAGAGCTAGTGTGGGTATGTCTCCTCAAGCTGGAAATTACACCTCCGAGCTCCAAGGTAGACATACCTTGCCATGCAAAATTGTGAAGGCCAAAGGTATAACTGGGTTCAAAAAAGAATTAGATGACTTCACGGATAGTTCCATTAATGGCTGTTAGCCAAGATGGTCAGGGATGCAACCCTATGCTCCTCATGCCCCTAAACCTCCAACTGCCAGAATCTGGATGACGGGATGGATCAGATTTCTGTTCATGCCCTCTGAAGCATCCAGCGCTGGCCATTGTCAGAGAAAGGATATTGAGCTAGATGGACCATTGTTCTGACCCAGTATGGCCATTCTTATGTTCTTAAGTTAGGGTGTTCCAGAACCTCACTCTTCTGATGGTTAGAAAATTTCTAGTCTTAATTTAGTCATGGACAGTTTATACCCAGTTGTTCTTGTACCAACATTGTCCTTTAGTTTAAATAACTCTTCTCCCTGCCTGGTGTTTACTCCCTGATGTATTTATAGAAAGTGGTCATATCCCATCTCAGTCTTTGTTTTATTAGGCTAAACAAATCAAACTAGTTTTGTCTCCTCTTTTAAGACAGGCTTTCCATTCTCCTGATCATCCTAGTTGCCCGTCTCTGCACCTCTTCCAGTTTTAATTCATCTTTCTTGAACCTAAGTGACCAGAATTGTAGTGTTCCAGATGAGGTCCTACCAGTGCCTCATACAATCACATTAATTCTTTGTTATCTCTACTGAAAATATCTCACCTGTACATCCTAGGATCACATTTGCCTTTTCCATGGCCACGTTACATTGGTGGCTTGTTGTGACCTGGATGAAACCTTGTTATGGATTGCATTAAAACACTGTTGAGACTGATAGGTGCGAACTCATCCTTCATTTAACATAACTGTAAGCATATGCCCCCACCTAGGGCAAAAAGTGCGTGAGAACCCGCCCAGGAGTTTTTGGCTGTGTGTTGTTTCGGGTAGTGGGTGGGGAATGACAGAACACACAGAAACTGAGAACAGACATAAGACCGCAGAGAGAGAGGGGGCAAGAAAGTCCAGCAGAGTGAGACTCTGGAAAAAGCTAGAGAGGAGCTTCTGGGTCTAGTATTAGCTAAACAGGCTTGGAGGATATAAGCTATGAATAAAACTGCTCCTTTTGTTGTTGGTTCCTCCTGCATTCTGACAAGGAGAACTTTGTAGTTTCCTTGTAAATAAACAAGATTGCATCAAAGAAAATACTAGACTCCATCAGTTTCTACTTTCAACTGGAACACCCCCAGGGCCCAAACTTTGTGCCACTCAGGTTGAAAAGGAGCAACACTGGTATCAAGAGCAGTATCTGGTTCCAAGAGAAAAATTGTGAGCTGGTATTCCTGTTGAACTGAGATGGAACAAATTATGGAGGTGCTTAAAGAAATCAAAAATGGTCACTGGGATTTAAAACAAGACCTAAAACAGGAGCAGGAGGCTTCAGCAAAGAATTTAAAACAAGTCTTGGAGCCTTCATGAGAAGATCTAAACAAGAAATGCATCACATATTGCTCCAGAGGAGCCCTTGGTCACCACTCCCAGGGCAATGCTCTACTTCTCCCTTGGTTGGACCATTCAATTATGCCTTCCCTTCGCTACTGCTCCTGCTATGAGTTCTAAGCAAAATCCTGCAGGACAGGGCACAGGTCATCCTGATCGCCCCCTACTGGCCCAGAGAATTTTGGTTTCCCAGTCTCCTATGCATGTCATCCCCACTACCAATCATCCTCCCATTGTTTCTGAAGCTCCTGACGCAGTGGAATGGCAAGATCAAGCAACCCTATCTGCATCCTCTCCACCTCAGGGCTTGGTATTTGGATGGGCATCATCCTTAAAACATTCATGCTCTGCAGCCATGTGAGACATCCTTTCTTATAGTAGGAAGGCCACTACTAGGAGATGTTACTGTACCTAGCTAAATGGAGGCACTTTTTTTCTTGTAAACATAAAAGGAGCATTCTCCAACGAATTGCAGATATTCTGCTCATCTTGGACTATATCCTCTCTCTGAAGGCATCAGCTCCTTGCAAGTCCACTTGGCAGTAATCAGTGCACAGCATCCACCTTCTTAGGGCTACTCCGTCTTCACGTACGCACTGACCACCAGATTTTAGAAACATCTGATCAGAACCTGCCTGCCTATTCAGAAGCTTACTTCCGTGTGGGACCGGAACCTTGTTCTTGCTGCACTCATGAGCCTCCCCTGCCCCCTTAGCTTCTTACTCCATGTCTCTCCTTTCCATGAAGGTTGCTTTCTTCATAGCTATTACCTCAACTAGAAAGGTTGTCGAGTTTGGAGCAATGATGGCAGATCCTTCTTACACTATAGTCAATAAGGATAAGGTTTCTTTGCATCTATACCCCAAATTCACACTAAAGTCATTTCAGAATTTCACCTTAACCAATCGATTAAGAACACTTATCTGTGTTCTTTCCAAAACTGCATACTCCTGCAGAGGAATGAAGACTCCATTCCCTTGATGTTCAGCAGGCCTTATTCTTTTACCTGCAAAGAATAAAACCAAGCAGGAAGTCCCCAAGACTACTCGTTGCTATAGCAGACTCAGGGGACACCCTATCTCCATTCAAAGAATCTCCAAATGGATCTCTGTCTGCATTCTACTCTATCAGCTATTGAACCTTCCCTTCCCCTAGGGTAAGGACTCATTCCACAAGAGCACAAACAACAACTATGGCATCACTTCTGTAAAGTGGCCACATAAGGATGTGCTCACACATTTGTGAGACATTATGCCCTGGTGCAAGACTCCTCTGCTGATGCCTCTTTTGGGATAGCAATCCTCCGCTCAGCTCTACCATCTACATCCTTACACCACCCATCTACTTAACGTACTGCTTGTCAGTCACCCACAGTGGAATACAATAGGGACCATAATTCGGAGAAGGGGAGGAAGTTACTCACCTGTAACTGGAGGTTCTTCAAGATGTGTGGACCCTATCTGTATTCCACTACCTGCTCTTCTTCCCTTGCATAATGACAGGTTTCAGAGTAACAGCCGTGTTAGTCTGTATTCGCAAAGTCTGCTGCAGTTTCCACGGTATGCATCCGATGAAGTGAGCTGTAGCTCACGAAAGCTCATGCTCAAATAAATTGGTTAGTCTCTAAGGTGCCACAAGTACTCTTTTTCTTCTTCCCTTCTGCTTCAGCTCTTCTCTGATTCATGGTATAGAAAGAACAGGAGAGATGGTCAGTCCACCCTACTCTTTATCCCTTTGGTTGGAGGCACCAGGTGAGCCAGGATGCATGTGCAGACCAGCGGACACTACTTTCAAAAATTCTCTGGCTCCGGGCACACTGTGTGCATGTGTAAGCCCACAGTGGAATACAGATAGGGACCATACATCTCAAAACACCTCCAATTACACATCAGTAACTTCCTCTTTTCTATCCTGTCTGTACCCCATAGAGGCCCAAAGGGGAAAGGTCAGACTGTCCCAGCTCCAGTGATACCAAAACCCCCTTTCTTTGAGGGGAAAACTCCCTGGGAGGCTTATTTGGCTCAATTCAACATTAGAGCTCAAATCAGTGGGTGGGAAGATGGACAGAAAGGGGAGTTACTAGCAGCCAACACTAGCAGCACCAGTTCTGATGGTGCTGTAGAACTTACCCCAGAAAAGAGACTGAGTTATCTACACCTGGTAAAAAAGCCCTTGATAAGCGGTTTGGAGCTGGCCAGGGCACACCTATGAATTAGAAGCAGAGGGAAAAAGGAAACCCGACATGAACTGTCAGGGGACCTGCGGAGACTTTGTGTTCCTGGCATATCAGATACCACCAAACATATTCCAGGATAGACTGGCAATGGACCCAATTTATAGATGCTGAACTGGACTTAGACTTGCACTCCAAACTTTGACTAGCCAGGTCAAAAAGGGGCAACAGACTCAGTCATCAGGTGATGGAATAATATGTTCAGGTCTTTCTTCTCCTTTGTTGTTTCCAGCTGAAGACCCCTTCCCCCCAGCGTACAGCAGAAATCCTTCTTCTCAATTGCACTACCTTGCACTTTGTACTATTAAATTTCATCCCATTTCTATTACCACAGTCCTCGATGTCATCCATTTCCTCCTGTATAAAATTCAAGTCCTCCTCTGTAATGATGATGCCTCTGAACTTTGTGTCATCAGCAAATTTCACTAGCACACTCCTATTTTTTATGCCAATTAAAATATTAAATAAAATCAGTTCCAAGACCAGTCCTTGAAGTACTCCCCTAATAACTCCCTCCAGTCTGATAGTTCTCCTTTTAGCACAATCTGTTCTTCTTTGAGTGCCTGCACATGTCCATTCCACTTTAGGTGTATGTGCACCAGTGCCCAAGAGCTTTTTCCCATAGTGGTACCCATAAAGGCAGCGCATGCACCCTCCTCACGCTTGTGCTGCTTGCCAAGAGCATAAAGGAGCAGAGCTTCCCCATCCCCCTCAGTTCCTTCTCACCATCAGTGATCAGTGGTTAGAGCAAGCGTTAACTCTTCAGACCTTCCTTTTTTGTGCTTTAGAGAACTTTCTAAAGGCTGATTTTACAAATAATTAGTTTAAAAGTTTTCTAGCTAATAGTTAGCTGACTCTGTACCTCAACGCTCTGTCTGCATCTAAGTGCCTGGATGGCTCAGCGGTTTAATCATCAGGATTCTGCTGCAGTTAAAAATGTTCTTTTGAATAGCAGGAAATTGTCTACCAGGTATACATACCTTATGAAATGGAAGAAGTTCTCCGTTTGGTCCTGGCAGGGAAGCACTTCTCCTTCCCTGCTCCTATCCAGTTTATCCTAGACTACTTGCTACACCTAAAAGAGAGAGGCTTGTCAGTTAGCTCATATGTCTATTATTTCAGGGTTTCACACACCTATAGATGCCAGATCCATATTCTCCAATCCTATAACTATCAGATTACTAAAAGGTTTGGACAGAGTATTCTCTCCTGTTAAAAATCTAATTCCTTCCTGGGATTTAAAACTTAGTTCTCTCAGAATTAATGCTTTCCAACCCACAGATATCTGCTGCTTGTTACATTTCTCAGTGAAAGTTGTGATTTTAATAGCTGTTACCTCAGCTAGGAGGGTTTCAGAGCTCTGGGATCTGATGGCTGACTCTCCGTACACTATATTTTGTAAGGACAAATTGGCTTTGCATCCTTATCCCCGAATTTCTTACCAAAGTGGTTTCTGATTTTCATTTGAATCAGACTATTTATTTACCAATTTTCTTTCCAATGCCTCACTCTCACAACGATGAAGAGAAATAAACTACATAATTTGGCTATTCAAAGAGCATTAGCTTTATATGTGGACAAAACTAAAGAGTTTTGGTCACCTCCGTACTTGTTTGTTTCATGTGCTGACCAGTTGGAAGGAAACCCTTAAAACAAACAACATGTGCTGGTCATCATCTGAGACTGCTATAACATGAAATATAGGCAGAATGCAGGTAAAACAGAGCAGGGACATACAGTTCTCCCCCAAGGAGTTCAGTCACAAATTTAATTAATGCATTATTTTTTAACGAGCATCATCAGCATGGTAGCATGTCCACTGGAATGGTGGCCGAAGCATGAAGGGACATACGAATGTTTAGCATGTCTGGCATGTAAATACCTTGCAATGCCGGCTACAAAAGTGCCATGCGAGCGCCTCTTCTCACTTTCAGGCAACATTGTAAATAATAAGCAGGCAGCATTATGTCCTAAATATGTAAACAAACTTGTTTGTCTTAGCGATTGCCTGAATGAGAAGTAGGTCTGAGTGGACTTGTAGCCTCTAAAGTTTTGTATCGTTTTCTTTTTAAGTGCAGTTATGTAACAAAAAAAAATCTACATTTGTAAATTGCACTTTCACAATAGAGATTGCACTACAGTACTTGTATGAGGTGAATTGAAAAATACAATTTCTTTTGTTTATCATTTTTAGAGTTCAAATAATCAAAATAATAATATAAAGTGTACACGTTGTATTGGGGATTGGTCCTGCTTTGAGCAGGGGGTTGGACTAGATGACCTCCTGAGGTCCCTTCCAAGCCTGATATTCTATGATTCTATTCTGTATTGTAATTGAAATCAATATTTGAAAATGTAGGAAAACATCTTAAAAATATTAAGTTTCACTTGATATTCTATTGTTTAACAGTGCGATTAAAACTGCAATTAATCACGATTAATTTTTTTAATTGCAATTAACTTTGAGTTAATTGTGTGAGTTAACTGCAATTAGTCAACAGCCCTAATTAATTGCTTACTTTTCATGTATACTGACAAAACTTTTAAATTTGGATATTCTGCATGAAATCTTGGCCACATTGAAGTCAATGGCAAAACTCCCTTTGGCTTCAGTGGAGCCAGAATTTAATTCTCTCAGGTTATCATAGCTAATAAGTACAAAGAAAGAACAATTTTTATTTTTCTGACAGTTTCTTAATGCAGTGCAATAACTTTTATGGCGTGTTTTATAATATGATACAAGAATATACAATATAATCTTGACATTGAATCAGTAGCTCAGAGCTAAAATACATTTCTAATAAATGGGAGGTTGGTTACTTAATCATTTGACAACTTGATAGAACTCATAAGAGAATTATCAAATGCTTCATTTCAAATTCAGACAAATGCATATACCATATAGTGTTTTTGATATGTGAACATTTTTTAACCATAAAGCTATTATGATTAATAATGCAGCATTTAGTTTTTCATAAAATAATCCTTTCAAACTGTACTTATAGTTTCAATCCTATATTTTTCTAGGTGACAGGATACCCTATCCAGATGCCATACACAGATTTATCATCAATAAGCGAGGCTGTGTATCAAACTGGCATTCATTCTTCAGAAATCCCCAATACAGAATTTGCTCTTGCTGTGTATATTCATCCATATCCAAACAACATCTTATCTGTATGGATCTACTTAGTTTCTTTGGTCCGTCATCAGTAAATAGTGTCGAATTCAATTATAATTAAACTAAGTTACTACATGTTACCTCTCATGGTTTAAGATGGTTATTTAGGCATGAGAACTGGGACACAAGAAGCTAATTTTATACCACAAGAGATAAGCCAGTACTATTTATTGTACATTAATAGAATCTTGTTACTGTAGAGAGATTGTAGCTTCTAAAAATTCTAATTAGATCCATTAGCTCTATTATAAATTGACCTTATCATTTTTGCTAATTTCCCAATAATCTGAGACCAGCATTAAACTCCTGTAAATAATTAAAATGATCATATTTAGTGTCCAGAGAAGTTGTTTAAATGATTTCTTGGGGAGTAGAGAGTAAACCCTTTGAGGAAAGATCTTAATGGGTTGTTTTATAGAAGTATTAGAATTTAGGGTCTTGCTGCCTCAACACAGTGAATTTCAAACATTCCAAGAGTAACACACAGTTGATACTATTACTTAAATAAGGTGCTGTAGAATATTGTGGAATGCATATTAATGTTTAACTGGTAGAGACACAGTAGTTTACAATGATGAATGTGAAAGTTGTGGAATAAAATTCAAGTTTGCAACTTTAATATCCAGAGGCTTCCCTAAATCTTAGGGCATTGTCCTACTCCTTTGAAATCACTGGGGACAGGAACAGATCCTTAGCGTCATTGCTAACTTGTGAAGTTCACTTTGTGTGTTATGTTTTATATTCTTTTAATTTTCAGTTGTAAGGTTTTGTGGAATGATTAACAACAAATATTTTGTTCAAGCGATGTTATGAAAATCCTTACTTTCCTTTAGCAGAATGTTTACATTTAATTTTTTAAAACTGTACGAGTTTAACTTTAGCATACAACATTTAACTGTAAACAATATACTTCATTATAGGGAAACATTCAAAAGCGTAAAGCAAAGCTGTCAAATATATAAATGTTTTTATTATACACTTTAAAAGTTATAATATTGATAAGTAAATTAGTGGTTTATTAATATTTGATATAGAATTTTAAAATATAAAGTATAAAATAAACTAAGGAATAAAAATATTCATTGTGTATATTAAAATATTTATCAACACATTAGAAAATGCCATTGCTGATGTCACTTGGGACAATGTGGAAATAAAACAGCACACTGATAACTGGGTTTTGAAGTTTGATTATTGTCAGAGTAGGATGCTTACTTTGCATCCTCTGTGTATTCAGGGTCATATCTATGGCTGGCAGAGCTAATACATCACTGGAAGAGCTAGAGTCTTTTCTGGCTTGTACCTAATCAACGGAATTGTTGGCTAGGTTCCATCTGCAGATTGTTGGTGATGTGTCAGCCAGCAAGAAACCGGTTTAACCTTTAACTTCCAGGCTGAATTTGCAGCACCCGCAGCCAGGAAAACCTAATCATTTTGCTTACAAACAGCAGAATTGATTTGGACTTTTGGAGGTCATTGGAGACAATAAACAGGAAACTCCACTTTGCCATTTGTACATGCACTAAAATACCAGAGTTGAACTGCAATTTAAAGGAAGCGGCTGAAACTTTGGATGAAATAATTCAAACTGCAGTGTTACCTTGCAACCAATTGTCTCAGACTCTCTGTGGTCCTAAATAATCACAAGGCTTGATGAAACCTTTTGCTCTTGAGACCAAAATGCAGTTCCCTAATTATTCCAATATCAATTGAGAAGCATGTGTGACAAATTTGGAATTCTAAGCAATAGGTGTAATTTATATTTAGTAATGGTATTTGACGGTCAAGGGATTCAAGTACATTTTTTGTCCATGATTTTAATGACCCATCCTTTGTGGTCTTTTATGTACCTCTAATTCCACATTGTATTGTACATGCTAGACCTATCACAAAACTAACATCATACCGTGATGATAGGTACCTTATAAATGTAAGTAATCAAATAACGATGTTGATTTTAAGGCACTTTTCTGATTATTATGCAAGAACTACATTTCATTCACTTCTTTATTTTTCTATGCATATGTAATACAATATTTCAGTTTTCAGAACTCACCTATCTGCTTTTCATGGTCAGCTCAGGTACACCAGCATATGCAAGAGTTTCTTTAAGACAGCTGAAGAAATTAGAAAGGAGCTGAGAGCTAGTTTAATGAAGAAGATGGAATTAATGTGGCCACCATGGCCGCATGCAGCCACCAGGGCCTCTTCTTGTGGCCACAGCCCCCTGGGCTGTGATTGTGGTGGGGAAGGGAAAGAAGCAGCACCCCCTCACCCTCCCTGTTGCTCCTGGATGCACCGCCTTGGTGTTGGCTACTAGGGCTGCAAGCCGGTGTTGGGCCCTGCCCCCTCTGGAGACAGCTGGGGCATAACACCAGAGCAGGCACCTGGTGAGTTCCCTACTTTCCCAGGGGTGATGGGGCTCAGGTTTTGGGCTTCAGCCCTGGGGTGGTGGGGAAGTGGGCTCTGGCTATGGGGCTTCACACTCTGGCCCCCGATGTCTCCCCCAGCACCGCCACTCCAATTGCCCCTAGCCCCTGCTTAATTTGTCCCCAGGTTTGCTGGGGCTAGGTAAGTACGCCGTGAAAAGTGATACTTGTATGTTTGTTAATACCACTTTTAACAGCCAATTTACTACCTAGCAATAAATAAATTACAATGATTTGGACATGTATATGTGCATATTTATTTGTTTTTCCTAAAGGTAATTAAGTATTTTAGGAAAAAGTATGAGGCCACCAAAAAGTTTGTCCTGAGAACCCCTGGAATAGAAGGTATATCAATGGGCTTTGTGGGTCAGTCATATTGGATTCCATATCAAAGGAATTTTAGTGCCTAATGAACTAGTTGAATTTTCTGTGTATAATCACATTCTTAAAGAAAAAGTTTTGCTGGCGTTTAGCAGAGTCTAGGATAAAGGCAAAAATGTGTGTGTGTTTTTAAAAGACCAATTGAATACCAAAATAATATATAAAGGACTGGATGGCAAGCATAGAGAAGCCTTGCTGAAATGATAGATGCTGCAAAATTCAAAATAAATGCTGCTTTTTAGGGAGGTAATTTTCTTTGGTTTATTGAGAGGTGGTATCTACCCCTCTTATGGTATATAATTGTGTTCTGTTAAGGACATAATGTGAAATTTTCCTCTGCAAATTAGAGAAGGCAACAGTATTCCAAGCAAAAGTTGAGACTGTGAGCATTCAGGAAAGTCAAATGTAAGAAGGCGGCACAGTTTTGATTACAGATTTACAGTCTACATGCAATTACTTCTTTCAAGTCAGAAATGTACAAAGAAACCTTAATAATACTATTTTATTTCAGTTTCACAGGGTCCAGGAGGAGAAAGATAGTAAACCCCTTAGCATTTGAGAAAACCAGTTTTGTTGCAGTACTCTGAGTAGAGGTGGGCAAACAATTTTTTTGGTTCACTGGCAATTTTGAAAAGTTGGGGGGAAAAAAAAAGTCTCAGGTCACACTGAAAAGAAAAAATTTTCAGCAAAGTTGCCGGGGGGCCCGGGGGGGGAATCATTTTGGGTTGAATGAAACTGTTTCATTCAAGCCAAAATAAAAATTTTTCGTTTCCATTTCAAGAACTTAAAGAAAAATAGAATAAAGGAAATTTTGAAATACCATAATTTTGAAACAAAAAATAAAAACATTTCATTTCAAAAAGTGTCCAGACAAAATGTTTGTTTTTCAGACACTTTTAGGTTTTTTCTAAACAAACAGTTCAGCAAAATCAACACAAGTTTGCAAAACGTTTTGGTGTTGATGAACCTATGGTTTTCCACTGAAAAAAGTTTGTTGAAAAGTTTGCCCAGCCCTTGCTTTGAGACTACTTGAGTAGAACAGACCAACTGGTTTAAAGGCATTTTGTTCAGTTTGAAGGTGGTACTGTAGGAGTAGCTGGAGAATGTCAGATCATTCTATTTATTGTACTAGAAGCTAGACCACAGTTGGTAAGTGACTCATTTAAATGACATACAGAGCCATTTTCAGTATTTTTAAGCAGACTTTTAGTACAAAGATTTAGACTGTCCTGATTTATCATATACTAATCAGAAACTAATTCTTCAAATTTGACTTTAGTAAATTTACAGCAGTGAAATATGAGGGGAAACAAAATTTAATTTAAAAAAAGTGCAAGGGATGTAATGCTTGTGAAAGTTGCCTGCTTGACAGCACTGTAGACTAGTGCTGTTTATCCACATAACAGAAGAGTATAGCCGCCACCTCAAGCTGCCCCATGCCTTCACCTTGTAGGAATTATGGAGAACTGCAATTGCTGAGCAAACCCATCATCCCTCTAGTTTGATATCCTGGGTCAAAGCTGGATGCTTTACAGGATCGAGTAAAATCCCTGCAAGTCCTTGAAATTCAATTATAGTTAAAACAACAGCAAACTGTGTTTTTATTCATGTAGGCATCTAATCATTTTTTTTATTTGACTACTACTAGCAAGTATCCAGTGGCACTGAGTTCCATAGGTTAATACATTATGTGAAAAAGTATTTTCTTTAAATTTGTTTGCTTTTAATTTCATCAAACAAATAGAAAAATGTAAATAGGGACATCTGGCTGGATTTCTCTGTACCATTCAACACTTTTAATCCTCATATGTTACAGAAATTGATTACTCTCTTCCATCTCCCACAATCACTAGTGTCAGGATATATCCCTGATTCATTACAAAGTAAATAAAACAGAAAACCAAAGGGATAAAGCTACCCCTAAAGTTGATACGTAATTATTTTAATATTTAAAAAGAATGTCCATCCCAAATCCAGACTCTACAGACTGGGTAGAACTGGGTAACAGCACTACTGTCTAGCACTAGAGACCCTGTGTCACTGTCTATAGCTCTGACCCTTCAAGGGATCTAAGATGGAAGAGCAATTCTGCTCAGTCTTCTAGAGTCATAATTCAGGGCAACTGTACCTGTATTCCCTCTCCATGGTCCAACAAGGGCACACCGGCTTATAGGCTTCGACCTCCTCAGCAGTTACCTCTCCCGTGTCTCTCCCTCCTGACCTGACTTTTTTCAGGATGCTCAGTTAACACCCTACACTTTGTTATTCAAAACAAGTTAGACTGTCTAATCAGGCCAGCATCTGCACTTTACTTACTCTTTGAAGGCTCTGAATAATGAAATTGCCTACAGTTATAAGTCACCAGACAGCTCTTTCTAAGCAAGCACATTTATTCTCAAGGTGCAAACATTAGAGAGAAAACATTAAAACAATAAAAACCTATGCACATGCTCATAAGCTTACTAGAGATCACCCCTCCAACACCAGCAGGGGCTCTGCTGGGAGTCAATCCTTCAAACTCCACCAAGGGTTTTTGCTGTGGTTACAAGCTCATAATAGCCTCAGCACAGAACAAGCACTCTTACTGCACAGATCAGCCTGTTTCTTTATAAATCTTGACCCTTTGAACTTCAACCTTTGGAAACAGGTAATCAGCAGACAATGGTTCTCTCCTTAGGGTGAGGGTCAATTGGTTGGGTTTTCTGAATAATCTATGGATGGCATTTGCATTCACTTCCCCCTATATGTTTCCCAGGAATTCTACTTCACACATATTGTCCCAAAAGATCATTTTTGTCTGCTGCAATACTCTATCGTCCTTTGATCATCCAGGCCTACAATTATATATAATCTTTGCATTTAACACAATTGACTCCAAAGATATGTAATCTTCATTCAGTAAGGTTTTTCAGTAGTATTGCAGGAAATTGACATATCTGTCACAAGTAGGAATTTACATGAACGCAAAGAAGTTCACTTTTGTCCCAACACAGATCACAGAATTCATTGGAGCTACCTCAGGACTCTGTCTGGGCCAGAGCTTACCTCCCTCAAGACAGATTCCAGTGGATGAACAATTCAGTCAGTTAGTTCAGAAAGAGCTCACAAAAGTTGGTTCATTCATGTCTCATCCTCCTGGGCCACACGGTGTCCTGTTCTTATGACAGCTTCTGTAAGACTCCATCTCCACTGTCTACAAGCTTGGCTTTGGCTAATACACCTGCCAAGTGGACACACTATGGACAAGTTAATCATGCTTCCCCACACCCCAGGGTGCAGGATGCTTTCCAGTGCATGTGTCCCCTTCTCACTGTCTCCACCCCAGAAGACATTGATCACAG